CGGCTCTCTCTACTCTTATTAAGCAACTTTTCTATATGTAAGTTCTAGCATTAAATATTAAATACTAATACTCTAGAACTCTGTAATCTAATAGATAGGCTTGCTGCTAATAAGCTGCCTTGCTTAGCACCTATAGCAGTAGATGCTCTGCAAAAAAGCAGCTATATTAAATGCGTTACTCTTAGAATTATTGCTATCTATTTAACGCTCGCTAGCTTCTAAAGCTCCTTAAGAAAATTCTTCTTATAGCTATAAGAATCTGTTACTGCGTAATACTCTACTACTTAGTCTATAAGCATAGCTGCCTGCTTAATTATTGCTCTCTTATCTATATAAGGATTATTTCTAAGGATAGAGTAACTTAGCAGCGCATATTCTAGCTAATACACCTTAATTACGTCTATAATATAGAGGTATATAACGCTACTACTGCCTTATAGTATAATATAACTAACGTTATATTACGCAAGGAAGTAGTTAGTAGCAAGAGAGCTAATAACTAACTTATAGAACTAATTCTATAATATTAATAACGTAGTAGCATAGCTATCTATCTACTAGCTGCTTTTTAAATATAGCTAGTAAGCTAACGTATCTAGATAAGCTTAAATGCGTAATCTTAATAACGTATTAGCTGTTAAGCTTTAATAGTATTAAAGGTAATATAACGCAATCTAGTAAGGTTAAGTGTTAGAAAGAGTAGCAGGTTGCTAAGAAGAGGATATATCTTAATATTTGTTAGATTATAGAATATTTAACGATAGTTGCAACGATAGTAATAGTAATAGCAATGCAAAGATATAAAGAGATAGAAGACTATAGTACTTAGATATTAATATGAAATCTATTCTTAACCTACGCGCAACTGCGCGTACTGCTTTTCTATAGTTAAGCGTACTATAAAAATTATGCCTCTTAAGCCTAGCTTAAGGCAGGATAGTCGTTGTTATACCTAAGGTAATTTTTAAGAAGTTTAGATATTAGTTAGTAGTGCCTGCACTAGCCTTGCTTAGGACTATTAACTAATACTAGATTATATATTTTATACTTTTTTAACGCTTTTTTATGCTAATAGTAGAGAGTAATTACTATCTTCTTTTAGTCTAGCTTATTTTTTAATAATACCCCTAGTTTGCGTTTCATATCTAGAATAAAAAAAAAAAAATAGTATATAATAAATATAATAATAAGAGGCATTAAAGTTATACTAAAGTATAAGAGTTTTTATTATAGTATTATTTAAAGTAGCATTATCTAGAATAAAGTAACTAAGTTTCTTACTAGTAATTTTAAACGTTTCTAGTATTTACGCAATAATCTTAGCTATTTAAACTTCTATATAAGCACTAAAAAGCTATAGTAAAGTAATAGAAAGATCTCTAAGATTGCTATTAGCATTAGCAAAGTAAGTAATAATACTAAAGAAGCTCTACTTACTACCTTTTATTATCTAGCTATTAAAACTAATATAAACCTTACTTATAGCGTAGGCTATAGTCTAAGTAATCTATAGCTCTATATACTAGTATAGTTATATAATATAGCTAGAAACACTAGTATAACTTATCTATAGCGCTTCTATAGCCTTTAAGTTAGCGTATATAATTATCTTCTTAAAGGCTAGTATCTTAAACTCTTATAGAAAGTAGTTATTATTAATAAGCTAGCTTACTATAGCATAGTAGAAGCCTTAGATATTAAAGTTACTAATTATATTAGCTATCTCTTAGATTAGCTAGAGACTACTAGTAGTAGTAAACTTAAGTAATAATTATCTATTATCTAGTTACTCTAGTTACTCTAGTTACTCTAGTTATATAACTGCAAACTTGCTATTTGCATTATAGCAGTAGCTTAGTAGATCTATATAAAAGTGCTTAATAGCACTAGAAGTTACTTTAGTTATTTTAATAACGTAAGCTATATTTACTCTCTTTCTCTAATAGTATAGTTTATATACTTAGTAGAGCTATATTAGGTTACTAACTAATACTATATAATAACTAAAGTTATATACCTAGCTTTTCTTATTCTAGAGTATCTATAAAGGCTTATAGTATAGCTAAAGTTAAGTCTAATTAATGCTATTAAAGTTATCTATTATATAAGTATTAAATTCTTTATACTTACTACTATCTAGTAACTTAGTAGTTTTAGCCTTAGTTATAGCTTCTAATCTCTCTATAAGTATAGTAATTATATTTTCTAGTATTATATTATATAGCTATAACTTAAAAGAGATATCTTTAGTAGCTTAGCTTATAGTAAAAGTAAAAGCTCTATGCAGTAATATATAAAGATAAAACTAAGACGCATTAATATAAATAAGCTATAAAGTAGTATCTTTGCTCTTATTAAGTTAACTATACTTATAAGATATATTATAAGCTATAGTAATATATTTCTTAAAAGTAGAAGATATTATAGTTAATATAGTTTATAACTAAGTTGTTAACCTAACTAAGTTATTAAGTTTACTCTACTAAAATGCCTGCGTAGTAACAACGCATTATATCTTAATAACGCAATATATAGAAATTCTATACTAAAGAAAATATATTTCTTACTATCTTTAATATTATATTAAAGCAAATTTAAAGTAAAAATTATACTATAATAGTCTATAATATTCTTTATATAATAGTGCGTAACTAATATACTAAAAGATATCTTTAATATAACTATAAGCTAAATATAAAGCGCCTAATAAAACTAGAAGAAGAGATAATTATAGAGTATATACTTAAGTATTCTATATATAGTCTACTTATCTTAAAGGCAGATATATAAGATATAGCTAATAGACTGCTTAGAGAGCGCGCTAGTAAGCCTATTAGTAAGAACTAAGTTAATAACTTTATTAAGTATACTTCTAAGCTATATAAGCGCTAGAGCTATCTATATAATTGCTAATAAGTTACTTATAAGAACTTAGTAATTATTTAGCTTTAGTTTATACTAGTTTAGAGTATAAAGAAGAAGTATAGAGTTATAGATAAGAATATATATAACTTTAATAAGTCTAGCTTCTTAATAAGTAAGATATTCTCTTAGCTTATAGTAATAGATTTAGAGAAGCCTAAAAAAGTAAAGAAGCTCTAGCTTAGTAATTATAAGTAAGTTATGCTAGTATAAGGTATTAGCATAATAGAGAAAGTAATTCTATCTTTTTTTATCTTTATAAGTAAAGTTCTTATCTTAAACTAGTTCTATAATCTTCTATATAACTAGGTTATCTAAGTTAGCCTTACTAGCTAGATAAATAATAATCTAGCGCTTACTTAGCTTAAATACTTTAACTTTTATATGCGTTCTATTAGAATATATAAGCTACTTATTATTAATAGCTATAAGAGCTATTGCGTAGTAGAATTCTAGAAATGCTATAAAGAGAAAAAGATTATTACTTTCTATATGCCTATATACTTATTATACTTCTTATAGCTACTTAATATTATATATTTCTTACTATTAAAGCATATATATAGTAATAATATTTTAGCTTTAGCACGTAGTTATATCTACTATATTAATAAAGAAACTTTTTTACTAACCTTTAAAGCTACTTTTAAGAAAACGTTTATAGTAAAGAACGTTTATATAAAGTTTTAAAGCACTAAACTAGTTCTATATAGCTTAGAAGCAGTGTTATTAAAGCTTAATATATATCTCTATACTCTACTATTAATAACTATTAAGAATAGTGCCTAGTAAGCAAAGATACTATATAATGCTTATAAGATAGAGGTATAGAGTATGCTTATTTAATAGAGAGTATAAAACTACGCAAGTTCTATAGTAAGGTTAATAGATAAAAAGATTATATAGCTAACTAAAGGCGCTTAGTAAATAGCGTATAATATAGTATTAGTATAAGAAGAAATAACTTACTTTTAAGATACTATAGAAGTAATAATAAAGTATAAGGCATATAAATAATAATATATATAAGTAGAGAAGATCTTAATAGTTAGTAAGGTATTAGACTTAATTGCTATAATAGCAGAGAACTATTATAATAATAGTAATAGACTATTAAAGAGAGTATACGTAAAGAGGCGCTGCAGCACTTATAGTAAGACTAGATATAATGCCTGCATCTATAAAGTAGAGATAGAGAATATAGAAGATAGCAACGCTTCTAATAAATAATATTCTTATATTTATAGTATATAAATTTATTATAGTATTGCGCTACGTTACTGCGCAGGCGTTTTAGTAGAGCAAACCTAATAACTTAGTTAAGTTAATAACTTAGTTATAAACTACGTTAATAGAAAGTCTATATTATTAATAGAAAAACTAAATAGTATAATAAAGAGATTATTATAAGAGAAGCAGAGTAAGTAGCTTCTATTTTATAATATATTTAACCTCTATATATAAATAATTATATACCTAAGGCTTAGAATATGCTATTAACTGCGTATATAAGGCTTAGAATATATAGACTAACTACGCATATAAAGCTTAGAATATATAGACTAACTACGCATATAAGGCTTAGAATATATAGATAGACTACGCATATAAGGCTTAGAATATATAGACTAGCTATGCATAGAAATATATACTATTTCTACTACTAATTTTTATTAAAGCTATTAAGATATATAGGTCTTAGTTTAATTTAATTAAATTAAATTAATTAAAATAAAGTTATATTATAAATATATTAAATTAAGATTAAGATAAAGCCCTGTCTTGTTTGTTTTGATTGTTGACAACACTGATCCTGACGGTCCGGCCAAGGGTCCCGCCTGTGCCCAAGAGGATGCCCGTCGGCCGTCTTGCTGCTCCTTTCAAGGAACTGCCGTTTGTGCTTTTACTTCTGGGGATTGCGATCTCGACTTATGGAATTTTCATACCCATCACATATTTGGCCGTCCAGGCGTTCCAAGAGGCGCACATGTCAGATGAGATGTCGCAGTATCTGATAGCGATCTTTAACGGTGCAAGGTGAGTTCCCGCATCCAGAGCGAATTTGCAAAATACTGACCATGACATCCAGCCTCTTCGGTCGTCTGGCTGCCGGCTGGGGTGCTGACAAGATTGGCAGATGGAACATGTTCATCATCGCCTGCACAGTATCTGGTATTTGCGAGTTCGCCGTCTGGATCCCCGCCACCAAAGCTTCCATCGATATTGGCTTCGCGATCATGTTTGGGTTCGCATCAGGAGCTTTTATGGCCCTTTCTGGCGCCCTTCCCGTTTCTGTCTCGCCTCTTCCTGAGATTGGTTACAGGCTGGGCGTAGTGTTTCTGGCAATCTCGATCCCTGCCCTGACTATGGCTCCTATCGGCGGCGCTGTCCTGCAAGCCTCTGCTACACATGGCTGGCGGGACGTCAAGATCTTCGGTGGCGTCATGTGCATCGCAGGATCATCCATTGTCTTGGTTTCTAGGCTGCTTTACACCGAAAAGAAACTTCTCAAGGTGTTCTAAACACTGGTTGGGCATGTCTGTAGAGATACAATTGAAGGTAAGCAGTGGAAGTAATGAAATGCTAGATTTAGTGCTGTGTGCAGGACAAATACACATAGCCGACGCTCTCTTGTCCGAAAAGGTTTTTTTGCTGGTTGCAAAAATTGAGAAAGTCGTACAGAATGGTGTAATCTAGAAATGTGAACGTTACCTGGATGGATTTGTTGGTGTCGTGGACAGCTCAGCCGTCCTTAGTGCCGTCTCGGAAGCCACGGAATGTTTCCGCCCGCGGAACGCTACCCCGCGTTATGTGGATGCAATTCACGGTACTTAGACCAAAAGACGCGTCCCAAAAGCTGTCGAATGCATGCTAGACTAACAATTGAAACCCATTAAACCATCATCTCATCAGTATAGTCATGGCAGCCGTCAAAGTCGCGCTGATAACTGCCAGCTCGGCAGGGTTAGGCGCCCAAATCGCCCGCGTCTTCGCACCAGATTTCCGTGTGGTACGCTCTCACTGCTCCCAAAATCGCCAGAGAAGCTTTAACGTCCCTGGACTCTCATACTGACGGATTGTAGGTGATCAACTATTCGTCAAACTCTGACCGGGCCAATGCTCTAATAAAAGAACTCTCTTCCATCCAAGGCAGCTCCTCACAGTCAACCCCGCGATTCCACCTCGTCCAGGCGGACATGTCATCAAAGATATCGGTGCAAAATCTCGTCAAAGAGACCATTGATACTATGGGAAGGTTGGATGTAGTGGTATCGAATGCAGGCTGGACGCGCATGACCACATTCACAGACATCGAGCAACAGGTCAACGACGAAGACTGGGACAAGTGCTTCACCATGAATGTCAAGACGCACTTGTGGCTTGCTTACGCTGCCAAAGACGCACTGGCCGAGACCGAAGGCGCGTTCATCAGCACAGCGAGTGTTGCTGGTGTAAAGCCATCGGGGTCAAGTGTGCCTTATGCAGTCACCAAGGCGGCGCAAATACATCTCGCGAAGAGCTTGGCTGTGATCCTGGCGCCGAAGATTAGAGTGAACAGTATTAGCCCGGGAATGCTTCTGACGGAGTGGGGACTCAAATTTCCCGAGACTAAGAGGAACGCAGCGATTGGGAATACGAAGTTGAAGCGGTTAGCGACGGTGGAGGATTGTGCTGAGCAGGTCAGGGTATTGGCTTTGAGTAGGAGTATCACTGGACAGAATATCTGTATCGATGGTGGAAGCTCGGTATGAATACGAGTAAGTAAATTGTTCCTGCTTGAAGAGGCGAAGACATGCATGTTCTGGCTAGTGATGAGTCAGGTTACTGCGGGCTGACTGCATTCGGGCTTACAGCGATCTGCACATGTTCTGCCAGTTAGATCCTCATCCTTCCACTTATTCATGTATAGTAAGCAAATCTGCGAGCCTTCTCGGTATCCCGGTATACAGAACCAACCCTTCCAGATAGTACTCAAGATGCATAGTCGCGGGACCCAACCTCACACGTGTCGCACTGGAAGTAGATTCATCTTGACCTTCGAAACTTGCGCATTGCCAGAAAGACGCCAAAAGACCGCTCGTTGACACGCGCATCCATTGTTTGGAGACACACCCTCGGTTGTACAACGATCGTACAACTCACATGCATGATGGCTTACGCTCGCGTATTGCCCGCATGCATGTAATGATGACACTTGTGCAAACGTGAGCCTAACAGGGAGTTATTTTAGTCCGGAAAGTTTACCAAAAGTGGCGGCCGAAAGACGTGACTAGAATGTGGTATAATGTTTGTTGTCGAGCTTATGCTAGCATACATCTTATACGTCGATTATTCAGCACAATGTCAGCTTTTCCCAATAGAGCAGACCCAGTCGTTGCGGTGTGGTAATGCGCATCGCACCACATTTCGGAATACTCGTCTTGACTAGTCGAAACAGGACATACGAGCGCAGTGTGACCTTGTTCGACGAGTACGATCAAAGCTGTGGCTAAATTATGCATGAGATAATTTATGGATCATTTCCATGTACCAAAATTGGCTTTACAATCATTACAACGAAAGGTCTTAGCAAATGCTTGCGCTAAAGTGGTCACATGTCGTAGCAGAAATGTCATAAGGCGTGCATGCTAACCTCACGTATCGCGACAGCAGCATTCTGAGGAAGTTACAGAGATGCAGAGTACGTACACGAATACGCATAAGACATAAGATGTGTCATTTTCACGGACTCATTTGATACGTCAAACACGAATAGCCATAATTTGTCTTTCTGTCCTTTTTGAGGAGACATTTTGGTTCTCAGAATGACTTTGATTACGAACAGAGGAAATTCGGTCAACTCATGGCTAAAGAGTGACATGCTTTGAAACAACGCATGCTGACAGTCCGATGAAGAAGCAAGAAAGAATCGGTTCTGAAGTTCTTTATACAGCGCATCATCAGGGACCAGCGATTCATTTACTTAAACGTGCTTGCACACAAGTGCGCAAAATACATGAGGACTTCCAAGCGTCATTTTGAGGCAGCAGACACGGAAGCATTGTGCTGAGGGTAGCATGTGCTACGACGTATCATATTCGCACTGCCTCACTTTTGAAATCCCCCACACAAAGAAGCGGCATCATGGGATTATCTTATCGTGGTGGTTTGGAACATATGCATGAAGTAGAAGCTTGTTGAATCCATCTTCTGTCACTCCGGGTCCTCGCATCTGCTCAGGAAAAGACATGTCGTTCTCGTTCATTTCTTTCGTCTCTGGTCTCAGGCCCAGCAACTCAGGTTGCTCTGCATGCTTTTCAAAATTGGTGAAAGCCCACGTCGTCATCGTCTCTATCTTACAGAATTTTGAAAGTCTCCAAGCCCGTAAATTCATTGGTCAAGGTTTGTGCTGTTTTGGAAAGAAAAGTAAAATGTTGTGTGGAACAAGAAACCACAGAAGAGACGGGGTTTATATAAAGGCAACGCCTGGAACGTGCCCAGGCGGAGGAGGAGAAGACGCAACGTCATTCATGCGATCGTTCTTCTTGTACTTAGAGACATTGCATCTCAATCGCAAACTTTTCGGGTCTTCCAAAGATCATACGCAGTGTATCTCTCACTTTGGAGAGTCTCGCGGATCACGTGTTCTCATAACGGGGACAGAAAGTTGTTTTTGTGAAAAGTGCAGATATTCGTCTTTTTGGTAGACCAGAGACGAGGATTCCCTTGGGAGAGGTAAAATCTACATCTCTGCCACACGTGTACACGCACGGGCGACAGAAAAACATAGAGAGTGAATGCTTTTCGTTTTGGAGAACGTCGTATTACGAAGTTTCTCCAAGCTTTTCAGAAATCATCGAAGTTGTTCGTAATTTGTTTTGGAAGATTCGAGGAGCACGAGTTCTTATCAGAGCCGGCACGTTTTCTTTTTGTACATAGAAAAAGTGGCGAGAATTTAATGAAGAGCAGAACAGCAGGTGAGTAGACCATTTATATATACCTCTCTCCCGTTTGACCCGCGCGCCCACGAACGCAGAAACATCACAAACGCAAACTCAAATTTTCAATGATCTTCCAGACATGGGTATTATTTGTACTTGTTCTTTGATGGGAGTCGAAAACTCGGCTGCTTATGTGGCAGGTCTTGCCTCTTTTCGAGAATAGAGAACATTTCCAGGTTTTTCAGCATTCAGAGGTCCAAGGAGTCGACAAGATGGGGGCGATTATACATCTCGCCACTCTCGCTGCTTTTTAGACTCCTGGCTCACGCAACTGACCGGCACATATTTCTCGGTTGCTCGAGGGCTTTGGAAAGCATATAAGGAAGTCTGTGGGGTTTCGAAGAAGTCCAACAGAGCACACAAGTCATGACCAAAGCCGTTACCAAGTCTTTTTCTAGAAACCAGAGAATTATAGTTGATGAACAGTAAGAAGAAAGAAAGGCGCGGAGGAATGGGACTTTATCCCCCCCTCATACTCTAGCTCCGTGTCCCGTTTGAGCGCACAAATACGCTCGACTCATGTGTTCTATTTGGCAGGCTTTTCAATCTCCATCTCCCCAATTTCGACACAAAGGTCAGAAAGATGTCTTCTTCCGTACAGAGATTTTCTAGCCTCCCCATGTCGCTGGTCTTTGTCACTTTTTGGTAGGAAAAAAGGGTACAGATGCCTTGTCGAAGCAACAGAGAGAGGTGTGGAAGAAGGGTAGTCCGTGTGTGTTTAGTGGGACGCAGCACGAGCACGCCGCTGGGAGGACACATCACGCGTGCGCTTTGTAAACGTTTTGTAGATGTCGGGACCATAAATCGTCGTACACCAACTTTTGAACTGCTCTCAGAACACATGTATCATCCAGGAATCTGTTTTGAGGAGAGAGAAAGAGCGCGCATACCACTCCTTATGTGTCGAACTTATCGATCTTCCAGTTGGAAAGATGCGCAAACTCGTTGTGTGATGGGGACACCAAACTCTCTCCCCGGACAACGCTTTATACCCTCCTCCTCATCGCACTAGTCCCCATTCTCACTCTCTCACACACACACACACACACACACACACACACACACACACACACACACACACACAATCAATCAATCAATCACTCATATCACGAGCGCGCGCGTAACAGCAACAATTCATCTCATTCCACTTGAGCACCCTTAGCTTTCCCTTTCCATAATCTCGCCCAACACGCACGAATTCCTCCCACCCATTCCCCTACCCAACCACATCACCTCAACCCCACCTATGCACCCCCATCCCAAAAAAAGGCCGTGACCCAAAATCTCCTCCCACCTCTCCGCCAATAATCGAATAAACCCCTCCATCCATAATGATAGCACACATCTCCGCCCCCACCATCCCCCCCTTCCAATCGCGCAAAGTAATAACAACAAAGATCTGCGCTGAAACCCAGAAAAGGACACACAACCAACGCCCCCCAAGGAAGAAAAATGACTGGTGATGATAAAGAGCTGGGAAGCTAGCTTGATAAATGGGCTCGGGTCGGCAAGTAAGATATGTGTCGTGGTATCGAGTTTCGAAGGTATAGGCAAAGCCGGCCGGGGCAGTGCCGAGTAAGTGCTAGTGTGATGATACAACCTCAACGCCGTGTTGGATATTGGATAATTGCGCCTGCGGATGATGTTTCAGGACTCATTCAAGACGGCGCCATATCCTCCAGCACACCCTTCTCAAACAACGCCAACCGCTGCAATTTCGCCTCCAACTCGGCGAAAATATCGCCCATGTGGCAAGCTTGGTCGAGAAGGGGCGCGGCGCCAAAGGGTCGGACCATGTTGCGGAGAGCAAGGGTGTTTGCACAAGACTGGTTGTTTCTGTTAGTATGACCCTGGGGGAGGAGTGAATATTGGGACTAACCTCAATTCTGCTAATCTGATGCTCCACAAAGTTCAGCAGGAACCGATCCGTAATCTCGCCTCCTCGACTCTTCATGCGCTCCAAAAGTGCTGTTTCCGGTGGTTTGAGCTCAGAGCAGCCGGGACTCTCGAGTGAACTACACAGCATCTCTAGTCTCAGACTAATGTTCCACAGGTCCCAGACATCTTCCGTATCGATCGTGAGTTGGCTGTTTGCCATCTTCTGCCCAACTTGCGCTTCGTTCGCCGGCGCAGGTTTCTGCTCAGCTGTCTGGCGCTGCACGGCAAGACGACTGGCAAGCGAGTGCGGGTACATGAGGTAGATGTATTCCGGGATTCTCAAGACCCTTGAGGCGCCGCTCACCAAGGTCTTTGACTTCGAAACCCTGGCTGGAAAGAGACTCGGAGTTCTTGTCGTATGAGTTGGCTATATGGAGTCATTCGCTAAAGGCTTCATCGGAACCCGGCAGAGTTGCTGCGGTCGCCTTCAATGTGCGTCTCGAGCAGGCGCTGAATCTCAGCGATGAAGTCGGAAGAAACGGTGGATTTGGGCCTCCATCGGCGACAGACGAGATACGTGAGGCTCGGTTGACCATGGGACCAAAGTAATCCATACGTCGAGTGACGGGATCGACTTCACACACTGGCGTTCCCCAATGGATACCCATGCGGACAGACAAACCGCGGAAGATGACGTTGCCATCTGGGTCAACGACTTCTTGCCCGTTGACACTGTTGAGGATCTCTTGTGGCCATTGTACTTCGAGCAGCTGACTCTGGATGGTGAAACACCAGAGCAGGGCTGAAGTGACAGTGCGGAAAGCAACCATGAAAGCATCACCTTCAGTCTTGACTTCGTAGCCACCAATAATGCGTAGCTGTCGTCGCATGAGCTCGTTGTGCATCTTGATGGCGGATCGCATGGCAATAGGATACGTTTCCCACAGCAAAGTCGAGTTCTTGATATCAGTAAATACCAAGCTGACTTCGCCTGTTGGCGCGTCGACTTCATTGTCGAGACGAGCAAGCTTGGAGTCACCAACCCAGATTCCTCTTCTTGCCAGGTCGCCGTTGGGTTGAAGAAGTCGTCTGCTGTGCCAGATGGATTAAGCGACATACTTTGCGTACGGTTGCGCGCACGCTGCTTGCTCTTGAGATCGCTTACTCCAAGCAACATGACCATGATCTTGTTGGTGGCGCCAAAGGCAATGGCGAGATCACGAAGCTTCTGCGCAGCGCGCATGAGATCTCCACGTTCTGATCGTGCGACATCGACAGCAAAATCCGGCGAGAGGTACTCCCACAGCTCTCGGGACGCGACCAGGATCATTTCGTCTGTGTCGCCGAGAGTGACGTTCATGAGATGCGGGGAAGCGATGACGGAAGGGGACATCTGCACGTAACCGAACGCCCTCGACACCTCGAGCTGGTCATTGAGCTTCCCTTGTCGCGAAACGAAGCCGCCAGCTTCTCGTATCCTAGCTCGTTCGCTCGGCTCAGCAGGGTCGTGCTTTCGAGTGAGGATCTTGTGACCGCCCTCTGAGCGGATGAGAAGGGCTTGTGCATCACCAACGTTCGAGATGTAAAGCTCCATCTCTTTCAAGTACAGCACAGTGGCGACACTTCCAGAGGTCAGGTCGTCGTCGCCAAGCTCAGGCACAGAAGCCCTATGCCCTTGGCCTTGCGGTGCAGTGTATCCATTCTTCTCAAGGGTCTGCGAAGCAACGGTAGCAAGCTCCTTGTTGAGCCCAAGGTAGGTCCTTCGCAGTGCATCCGAAGGAGACTCTTGAGGCCGCAAGCGGTCCAGCTCATCAGCGAACCTGTTCTTGAAGTGGTCGTACAGGTACTTGGCAATCTTTGATCCGCCTCCAGCAAGGGGTTGCGCATCAAACAATCCGAGCACTTGCTCGTCGTCATGACTGCGGAAGCGAGGGACTACCATATCCATGGTTGAGATGTGTTCGTTGCGACCCAAGCTGTCAGCCATTCCGTACGCCATACTACCGACGGCGGAACCTGCTGTTCGCACTCTTCGGTCTTCAGACTGTTCTGGCACTGACGGCACCATCATAGTAACGTCCATGAGGCCAAGTACGCGAAGATTGGTGAGCGAGCTGAAGTCTGTCAAGTCGCGACCTTCGCGCATGTTGACCCCGCTACCACTATAAGAACCACTGGGCTTGATCTCAAGACGCTTGTTGCCAGACAAATTCAAGTACCGGAGCTTATGGTTCCAGTTCCAGTTCCAGTCATAAGGCCAGTTGGACACATTGTACTTGAGCGAGTTGCTTGCCACGTCTAAGACGGCAAGCTGTGCAACCTTTCCTAATTCGGCCGGTAGAACCTGGAACTTGTTGTTGTTGATGTGCAGCACCTTGAGCGAGCCAACTTCCTCTAGATCCTCGGATGGTAGGGATGTCAAGTCATTGCCCGAGAGGTACAGCTCGGCCAGATGTTGCCATCGCCTAATCGTACGTGATGGTACGTCATAGATAAGGTTGTACGCCAAATTCACGATTCGCAATTCGGGTAATAAGCAAAGTTCGTCGAAAACGTCGTCGGTAAGCCGATTGTCTGCCAAGAACACGTGCCGTAATGAGCCGGCGAATGTGGTGACGAGCCTACTTGAGAGGCTTGAATCCTTACGCGACATTGGCGTCAGAGTGCCCTCGGTTGGTGCGCGAGACGCCACTGATGGCTTGCGTGCCGTGCCCGTCGTGCTATACGATGCCATGGATCCTTTCCTCTGCGAAGATCCTGATGATGTCCCCAGGCTTAGCTGCCCACCGGAAGCCTGGCTAGGCCGCCTGTTCTGGAAATCTTCAAGTTTTCCAAGTTCTTCGTAGCTTGGAGTTGTAGTCAGACTCGGTGCAGGCATCGGCATCGCACCGTCAAGATTTGCGACTTCACCGTTGGTGACTGCTGCGGGAGGTGCTGCGCCCGGCTTGGGGAATGAGTCGAGCACATTGGACGACACGTTGAGCGTCTCCAGGCGTCGCGCATACCATATCTCCATTGGCAAATGGCTCAAGTTATTTTCTCGTACATCCAGGTACCGGAGTTCTATTAAGCGTCCGATTTCAGCCGGCAATACATCGAGCGAGTTTCGCGCTACACTCAGATGTTCCAGCCTGAACAACCGTCCGATGTTGTTGGAAAGCGAGGTGAAGTGGTTCTTGTCAAGAATGAGCTTTGTTAGACCGGTGAGCTTGCCAAATAAATCTTCCGGTAACTGTGCGAGCTTTGCAGAGGCCAAATTGAGCGCAGTCAGTGATGGCACTGCCGCACTGAGGCCGAATCGAGTGACCGGGTTGTGATTCATGTGCAGGACCCGGATCTTGGGAAAGTAGCCTTCAAACGAGGAGATGTTGTTGTGGCCGATCATCAAGTACTCCAATCGCGGCAGCTGTGACATGACATCCATGCTGTCGAGCGCGTTGAACCGGACGTCAATCTCTCTAAGATTCACCAAGTTGCTGAGAGCAGAAGGGAAGCTGCCAGTCAATTTGTTGTTGGTCGCCCAGAGTCTTTCCAGACAAGTGAGTTGGCCAATCTTTGGCAGACTGGTGATGGAGTTGAAACTGATGTCGAGATCCACCAGTGTTCGCACTTCGCACAAAAAGTCGGGGAACTCATGCAGCGCGTTCGAACTGAGATTGAGACTTCGAAGAGCGCGGTACTGTCCGAAATAAGACGGGAGGCGGGTTAAGCCGTTGTTCGACAGTCGAAGCCCTTGCAGACTTTGCAGCTTGTGCAGCTCCGATCGATCGAGTGACTGCAGGCGATTGTTCGATATATCCAGCATCGTCAGGCGGCTCGCCAAGCTCAAGCTGGGCGGTAGTCGTCTAGCGTCGTTGCTAGTGTACTTGATCTCGCGGAGATTAGTGCACGCTTGGATGAAATCCTTAGGTACATCCAGCGACAGGTTGCGGGAAAGGTTGAGAGAGATTATCTCTGTAGCCTTTTGATATAGCGTAATTGGGATGGTGATGAGGTTCCGGCCCTGCAGGTCGATGTGACTGAACTTTTGCATTTTGCTGAATCCTGGATCGCGCTCCAAACTTGAGTAGCCGCTCATCTTCGCGGGTAAGAATGTGAACCTGCACAGGTAGCTGTTGTCCTCGCGTCCAACATCTTCAAGACGGTCGAGATCCGTGTATCCAGCTTGCTCGAGAAGGCGTTTCTGGATAAATAAAGGACGTTCATTACTTTCAAGTTGCCGTGAAGTGTCGTGCTTTCGCATTACAATGTGGTAGTTGTCAAGTTCGTCCTGGAGCACTGTCTTCTTGCCTAATATTTGGATAATCTCCTGTACCGTGGTGTTCAGGGTCGCTGATAAGGTCGCAAAAGTTGAATCAACACGGAAAATTCGCAGGCAGTAGGTTTTCGTATCGGTTTGTTCCTGGACGGGGTCCCCATGCTCATCGACCTCGCCATACAAGGAGCCATCTTCTCTTGTCCGCTTGACTGCCCAAGAGTCTGGTGCGTCCCAGGCCGCTTCGTCCTCAGGCGCCGCAGGGTTTGGAAGTTCGTCCCCGGGGAAAGTAGGCTGCTTTTGTAATTCGCCAATGGGCGGCGTCATTGGTGGATGCTGGGTATTCACGATTCCCTCCATGTTATTCAGGTCTCGGTCCAAGTAGAACACTGCGTCGCTGTTCACGTTTTCGGTGGCTTGATTGGGGTCTCTGCCGACCGGCGGAAGTTCGTTTGTAGGCACGCGCTTCTCTTTCCTAAAAGTTGGCAAACGCGCATGGTGACCTCTCCGCGCGTCCTTCATCGAGATCTTGTCTGATGCGCCATTTTGCACGTTTGCTCTTGACATCTGAGACTGTGGGGAAGGTTCCGCACGTGTGAACTTGGCCGAATTGATCGACGGATTGAGCGATGTCACGGAGATGTTGCCTGTCACTCCGAGATTCTTCAGGTTGTCGGGTGGTCCTGAGCGGTCCTTCTTATCCTTGTCCTTGTCCCTACCCCGGAGTCGCGCAAACAGCCCATGAGACTTGGTTGTGCTCGGAGATCGTTGCGATGCGCCAGTGTCTCGAGCCATGTCGGAAAGGGCGCTAGGCGTGGGGCTCGATGGTCGTGCTGATAGGTTTGTCTTCGAGTTCAGCGCGGAACTGATCGCAGATGTGTACTGAGACCCCTGGCGAACACTGAAAGACGAGTCTTCACGACTGGTCGCTGGGCGCAGAGGATATGGCTGGCTGATATCGGTGCGGGATTCGGCTGTGACGTTGTCTTCTTTACTGTTCTTGTGGCGATGGTTGTGGCCAGGCAATCTCATCATGTGAAGTTTGTGGTGCGATCGCGGAACCGATTTGCTCGAGTGCTGTTCAGATGAGCGTCGTCGCCCATTCTCACCCGGAGTGCCAATGTCCTTGAAGGTGTTAGCAAGATGGTTACTGATAGTGGCTGCAGCAAAGCACGTGGAGTTGCACTCGTGGTGCCTTCTTCACGGAAATGCTCGCCGAAGTCGGAGCCAAACGCACCTTTGAATCCTGAAACTCCCAGGGCGTAACTTCCGAGGATGCCTGCGGTGTGCGTGGGCGGGAGTTGGTAGGCGATGCCGGCCTAGAGTGGTGGCTGCCTATCGTATTGTGCAGGGAGTTGCCGCGGTTTCTCGTTCTTGTTGCATCCATGGCATACGGCGTGCTCAGACTCGTGTCAGAATTCTGGCGCCCATCCTGCGGAAAGTCTTCGCCAAAGAAGTTTGGTAGTCTCTTGTGAAAGCCTCGACTCGACTTGGAGCCTGTGCTGCTGACGGTGGTCGCACTCGCCACCGACGGCCGCCTGTCGTCCTTGAGAGGGAAGCCCATGCTGTCCTCCCGGCTGCCGGTACCGGGACGCACAAAGCCAGGCGATAGCTGCGCGAGGTCTTCGTTGGAGTCGTTGTAAAAAGTGCTCCAGGCGCTATTCACTGCGGTTGGGGTGCCGTTGCTGCTTGCCGACCATGGTGCAATCTGCGAAGTTGCGCTCGAAGCAGTGGGCGGGTTTCGCGATATAGACGGCACTCGTCCGCCAGACGTTTCCAATACAGCTAGCTGCTTCCTGTGGTCGCTGAAGCTCGTTTGGGGCGCGTCCCAGTTGGAGGGCCGTCGCGGTCGATGCGCGGGGTCCTTTGGCGGAGGGGCGGGAGGGACGGTGCCAGGTGAGATCTCTGACCCCTTTCCGATGCTGCATCGCGTCGTTAGCAGGTCGTGTCTCACGGGCAGAGTGCAATCTCGGGGCAGTGCTGGGCGAGACAAGGCTGGCGCGCGGTGTCCGCACACGTTGTGGTGTCATTGAATCATTGCAGAGCAGCCCCAGACGGCAGGGAGAAACACCATCTGGCATTGCTCTCAAGCTTCGACTACCAGGTGGGGCGGGCACGTCGAAGCTCTGCAACCTCACCAACAGCGGGCGCGCAGCCGCATGCAGGCGCACAGGGCCGGTCCCCACCCAGTCCAGCTCTTTGCACATGCGACGAAAGCACCCGTCCGCGCAGGCCAGGGCATACGTACTGGTTCATGTCCTTGGTCGTTCTCACAGTCACGGGGGTGCCGCGCTGAGAGCCCTGGCGTCCATATGGCCGTATCGTGTCGCCCGAGCGCGAGCTCCAGCTGCTCTCGACGGATCCATGGCGGCCGATGGACTCTGGGTTCCTCGTCATAGTCACGGGACGCCGCTACAGGGCGCGCTGCAGCACGCGATGCGCCTGCAAATGGCGGGTAGGTGGGTGGGTTGGAGGTGGGCTGCTTGCGCAGAAGGGCCTAGGACGGCTGCTTCATCGAGGCGGGACGCGGTGTCGGTGTGCGCATGGGCGGAGGACAATGCGACTGCGGCTGCAAATGGGACCTGGCGATCGGGTGGGCAATCAGATTGCGGAGCGGAGCGGGCGAGAGGCGGTGCGCAGTCACTGCAGCACACGATCGATTGCACTGTGCAGCAGTCGAATGGATGTCGTCGAGACAGAGGTCGGTGGAGGGTACGGGCTCCACAGATGGAGAGCGGATAGCATGCTTAGTCCTTCGTGCGCCACCTGCTCTAACGCCAGTATCCGCCCCATCCTCGGAAGCCTAGAACAGCATCACCACCAAACATGTCTCGCCGTGTGTCTCGCCCAAGCCCACTCGTGCTGCCCGGAAGCAGCTGCGTGTTGCTAGGCTTATAGGCGTCCCATGGCCCTCCTCAGATTGCAGCATCTACCAGCGATCGAAAGACCTGTGGTGATGTAGTGGTTCCCGTTCCAGCGTTGCGGCAGTTTCCCCCGCATGAAATGCTCGAGCATTCAGTGACCATGCATCTTGCACTACCTGAGATGATGGCACACAGATTCACATTCACCAAATCTATTTCCTTTTTTATTCTTGCCTCAAGAACTTTAAACGTGTCTAGTACTGTGAACCTGAAGCATCCCATACCCCGCGACCGCGCTCTGCATATTCTCCGACGTCTAGGGTCGCGCTGACAGCCGTGATTGATTGCCGGTCACCCACTCCCACAAACATCAAATAACCCTTCACCATCATGATTCACAGACTCAGCCCGTCTCACCCCCACGAGCAATTCTTCACGGCGTGTCCATCGTAATTTCATGACAACCTGATGATCAAGGCGCAGATCTCATCGTAACGGATGGGGTCTTTTCCGCGCTATACTATTTCACTAGCGCGTAACTAGCCCACATAGCTTAAACATACATTCGGGATCGCAGACTGGCGACAAGGACATGCAGGCTAGGTACTATTATGAAATACTCCACGAACCATGGTGTTCTCTGCCATCTAGATATGCTCCGAACGCCGTAAAATTCCAACAAACTAATTATACATGGCCATCTTTCTGAAGTACTGAATCAACGACCTTACGAGGATACCTTCTCAGCGCTGCCCACCACCTCCAAGTGCGCGGAGGATGTCGTGGAGAGACTGTGCGCTTTGATCGGGTTGCTGCTGCGGCTGTGCAGGTGGTTGCTGAGGCTGTGCATACTGCTGGTATGCAGCTGGATAGGCATACTGGGGCGGGGGTTGCGCCTGAGGTTGAGGGGGTGGAGGAGGAGGTGCTGCGGCTTGGGGTTGCTGTTGCTGTTGCATTGTTTGAACGACCTGGAGCCATTGTGCCCATGCTGCCCAATTCGCTTGCTGCTGCGGTGCTGCTTGCTGTACTGGTGGTGGTGCTGAGGCCGGCGCTTGGGCATAGGGCATAGGTGCCGCGTATGAGGCTGCAACTGGAGGTGGTGGTGCATACGCAGCCGCCGGTTGTGGTGAGTTGGAGTATTGCGGAGGCCAGCCTGCTGCGCTGTTGTTGACATACGAGTGAACGTTTGACGGAGCTGGAGCTGGAGGTGCTGGTGAGGCATGTTGCTGTGAGTGTTGACGCTGCTGTTGCTGTTGCTGCTGCTGCTGTTGCTGTTGCTGCTGCTGCTGCTGCTGCTGCTGCTGCTGCTGCTGTTGTTGTTGTTGTTGCTGTTCGCGCTCTTTCTCTTTCTTCTCGCGTAAGCGCTGCTTTCGGTTCTTGTTCTTGCTCTTCGCAGGCGGTGAGTGCTGTGGTTGAGACGATTGCTGCGATTGACCGCGGTCTTGGTGCCGAGCAGGTGAGGCAGAGGTTGCGGATCGCTGCTGGTCCTGGAACTGTCCGCCGCGCTGGTTGTTGTCCTGCTGTTGGTTGGTCTGATTCTGCTGCCTGCCGCGATCGCTGAGCTGCGGTTTCAGTGTCGGACACTCGCGCTTCTGATGTCCAACCTGACCGCAAGCATAGCACGTCCTGTCAGCGCGGCCACCCTGTGCACCACCTCGATTGCCTTGGTTGCCGTGACCTCCTCTGTCTCCTCGGCCTCCACCAAAGTCACCTCGCCCACCTCCGTGGCCACCCCTGTCATTCTGGCCGCCACCAAAGTCACCTCGACCACCAAAGCCACCTCTTCCGCGGGATCCACGCCCACGATCGCCCCAGGGGCCCCTGCCGCGCATCATGCCGCGACGAACGTGGCTGCGGTCTTCAAGAGGCGCGCCATGTCCAACAATCTGCTCGAAGTGATCGGGCCGTGCAAGCGGCTTATACATGCCGAGGTCCTCGTCCTCGTCGTCGCTATACTTGAGGCCGCCGCCTTGGTACTCCGTAGGCTGGTAGTAGTTTGGCACGTCGACATGACCCTTGGGTCCCGTGGGTATGGGCTTCTCAATTTTTGGTTCGTCGTCGTCCTGCCTGGCCCTCTTCTTGGCCTTTTGTTCGCGCTTGAATTCGGCTTCCTTCTCGTCGTCGGAGAACTCGACATCGTTGGTCTCCTCATCGTGGAGGTTGGACGCGTCCGTGTGCTTCTGTGCGCGAAGTGGCTCGGTGAAGACAAATGTAGAGTGGTCGTCTACGTAGTAGATGGGCGTGTCTGTGGTGATGCCTAGCGTGGTTATCTCAGCAGCATCGTTGAAGCCCAGCGCATAACGGGGTTCCTCAACACGGCCAATCTGCTCGGATATCTTAGACCGGATGACAGTGCGGTTTTGCAGACAGAGCGCAGAGCCGGACTCGACCACCTGCAGGTCGCCAGACACCCTCCCCTTGACGACGACAATGTTGTCGACGACCGACTCGACCTTGCCGAGCTCGGTGATCTTTGTCTCTTCAGTGACTGTAATGTCGGGCTTCTCGTACTGCTCCTCGACCTCGTTCAGCGTCTTGACCTTGGCCTTGGTGGCTGGCTCGTCTGCAGAACTCGGCCATCAAGAGGCGGACCGTCTCCTCGGGGTCCAGCAGCTCTCCGTCGTCGGAACCTTCCTCGTCTGAGCTGTCGTCTGAGCTCGAGTCGGAGGACGAGCCCGACGACGACGCATCCGAGTCCAGCTGCCACTCGGCATTCTTGTTGTTCTTGTTCGCTTCAGCCGCTTGCAAGAACTCGGCTTTGCCGTCTTCCTCGGCGAGCCCGTTGGTGATGGCGAGCGCGAGGTCGTCGCCGTCGCTCTCTTCGTGCGCGGGCGCTTCTTGGGCGGCACCAGGCGCATTCACTATTTCGCCGTCGTCGACTTGCTCAACAAGAGGAACGTCTTGGGCATACGTCAGGGACACAGGGTGCATAGAGCGATGCGACAACCTACCATGCTGTAGAGATGCGTCGGCCGCTGCGGGCACAACGGCGCCCTGCTCGTGGTAGAACACGTCGGTATCAGACAGCTCGCCGTCTTCAGAAGCCTCTGCCGGGCCCTGCGCGCCGCTGTTTGCGCCGTTCTGCGGGTTTGGCTGCGTGGCCGGGATCGCGCTCACAGAGCCGCCGAGTCCAGGGAGGTTAAAGCTTACGGGCCCAGGTGCACCCGCAGCCAACGTCGACGACGCGCTCCCATGGCCCTCGAGCGCAGGCACCGCAGCCGGCTTGACGGGCGTGTTGTCGTAGAAATCGTCGTCCATGTCATCGACAGGCGAGCCCGGCGCGTCGAACGCTGCGCCATAGTGGGAAGCATCTGCGTCCGCCTCCAGCCGCGCCCTTTTGGCAGGCGGTTCCAGCGAGTCTGACATGTCTGTCTCCTCGGTGCAGTCTTTGTAGCACGCGCGCTCGCGACTGTTGATATTCCAACTGCTGTATGCACTGGCTTGCTTAAATGCCGTGATGATGTCTGTTCAAGGGGGCAGCCGCTCTCGAGGAACGTCGCCTTTTTTGATGCAGCTAGCGCGACGCCAGGTCTTGGCGGGAAGGCGCGTGCGTGATTCAGCCCTACACGCATGGCGATCGCTTCGTCACTGGTCTGGGACGTCTGGCCACTTTGTCGACGGGCAGACTGCGGTGAAGCATGTCTCCAGTGCAGGTAGCAAGCGGGTGAGTCCTTCTGATTACACCTCCATGTGGCCATGTGATGCCATTGACATTGGCCACTCAATGCAATTGCCGATTGCCCGTTGCGGAATGCTGAAGCCAGCTGTCGAGCTAACATGTGCATAGCAAGCCGGCCGCCCGCACGCAGAAGCCGCCAGAGCTGCAACCTCGCTCCGCTTCGCCGTCTTCGCCATCGCCAACATCATCGCCGCCTACTTTGCGCCCATCCAGGACTGTGACGAGGTCTTCAACTACTGGGAGCCGACGCACTACCTCAACCATGGCTACGGGCTGCAGACGTGGGAGTACTCTCCTGACTATGCCATCAGAAGCTGGACATACACGGCCATTCACTCGCTGGTGATATGGCTGGGCACAGTGCCGCTGAAAGTCCTCCTTCCTCTTGCGAAGCCAAAGGTGGTGGAGTTCTACTTCCTCCGCGTCACGCTGGCCGTCGCATGTGCGCTCTGTCAGTCAAGACTGTACTCGGTCATCTCGCGGACCATTAACCCACGAGTGGCCATATTCTTCGCCATGGCTCTCATCTTCAGCCCCGGCATGTATCACGCTGCACCAGCCTACCTGCCGTCGACGTTCGCCATGTACACCTCCATGCTCGGCTTCTCGGCCTTCATGGACTGGACCAAGGGCATGAAGACATCTCAGGGAGTCTTCTGGTTCGGCATCGGTGCCACTCTTGGCTGGCCCTTTGCCGGTGCCTTGGTCCTCCCGTTCGTTGCCGAGGAGATCATTCTCGCATCTGTGACTGGTGATCTTGCCGACGGCTTCAGAAGACTTGCTCAGGGCGCATTTTACTCGGTGGTAGCCTTGGCAGTCCAAACGGGCATTGACTCATTCTTCTACAAGAAGTTCACTTGCGTACCTCTAAACATCGTGCTATACAATGTCTTCAGCGGGGGTAGCCGCGGTCCCGACATATATGGTGTCGAGCCATGGCATTTCTATGTTCGCAACCTTGCACTCAACTTCAATATCTGGTTCTTCCTGGCTTTGGCTGCTTTTCCGCTGCTGCTGCTCCAGCACGTCGTCATCCAAATGGCCGTTTCAAAGCAGACTCTTCTTCGCAGCGTCGTTTTTGTCACTCCCTTCTATCTGTGGCTGGCCATCTTCACCTCCCAGCCACATAAAGAGGAGCGCTTCATGTATCCTGCATATCCAGCACTAGCATTGAATGCTGCCATATCTCTGCATATCATTCTGGCCAACTTTGGGTCTACAGATCCACAACATCTCGTCAGCAAGATTCCTGGGCCAATTAAGCTTGCTGTTGTTGCCATTCCCCTTCTTTTATCCTTCAACATGGGCATGCTACGTACCATCGGCACATTCACTGCCTATTCTGCACCCCTCAGTATCTATCAGCCTTTGCACAACGCAGGAGTAGCACAGCCTGGGGACACCGTCTGTCTAGGCAAGGAGTGGTACCGGTTCCCATCAACATTCTCTCTACCGCAAGGAGTCCGAGCCAAGTTCATCAAGAGCGAGTTCTCTGGCCTGTTACCTGGTGAATTTAGCGAGGCCAATGTCGGCTTCGGACTGTGGCCAGGGACATGGTTGGTCCCTCCTGGTATGAACGACGAAAACCTGGAGGATGTTGGAAAGTATATTGATGTTGATCACTGCACATTCTTGATCGACTCCCGCCTTCCTTCAGCACCACCGACAGCACTGGAACCCTCGTACATCTCAGACACGAAGAACTGGGAGAAGATGAAGTGCACCACGTTCCTCGATGCTTCCCACACGCATCTCCTCGGCCGTCTTCTATTTATACCAGACTTGCCATTTGTACCGGAAAGGTTCCGCCGCAAGTGGGGCGATTACTGTCTGCTACGAGCAATACCTCGCACGTGATTGGCGCATCCACCATACATCGACCAGTCCAGGCACTGAATGCTGTACAACGGGTGTGACCCTCGCCTGGGGGTCATCTGCGTATTTGTAACACATGCATCTTCTGCAGCATTACCACTCTTGACAATTGTTCCTTCGCTAGACCAAACAGCTGCAACATGTCACCACAGACACTCGTTGGCTAGAGGGTGTCTTCATAACGCTCCCGATCATGTCCAGGCCTGAGCACAAGACACACTAACACCTGGCTGCGAGACCACTAGTCTGAAGCGCCATAGCACTGCCTATCGCGAGATGCAACTCATGATGCTTGGCTACTGGAAGCGGGTTGCCGACTAACCAAGTGGGGTATTCTTATCCCCCGCTTCAACCATTATAAAGGGACTTGACGACACCGGGCCTGTCAACCCCACATTTGATGCAGAACAACCTTGAAGGACGTTTATCGTATGAGCGCGTACCCGCGTGCGTCTAAAAGTGTAGTATTGAATCCCAAGCCGCACTTTCCTCACCCTTTGCCTGTCCCCTTCCTCGATTTCCGTTTCACCTGCACATTTCCTCATTCCATCTGTGACACGCTTTCGTCAATGCTGTAGCAAAATGGCAGACCTCATTCCCCCGCATTACACACCGTGCTGATCAGCTTCACCGTACCGCGAAGTCATACCTCAACCAGGCCGGAACAAACATCAGCACATACATCCGAAACGCCAACTTCGAGCCCAAAGCATTTATCTATGCCGCCCTCCTTCTCGTAGCATTCACATATCTTCGCCACTAAACTCACAAAGACCATCCTATCTCGCCCGCTCCTCCCCAGCTCCATCAACACCAACCCTCGAAAAACGCTCACCCCTTCAAAGCGCCCGAAAGACCACCAAGGAGGGCATGTCAAATACTTGGTCCGACCCTCCAGAAGTCCACACTAACATATCCCAGTATGGCCCCCCTCTGCCTTCCTCCGCCCCCGCGCCTCCCCCTACCCAAACTGGTCCGTCACCCACACCAAACCACTCTCCTACCGCCCCTTCCGATACGGCCCAAAATACAACATCACCATGGGTCTGCGGAACATGCACTGGGACGAGTGGATCGAGCTCGACAACGAATTCCTCTCCTACCACAAACTCAAGTGTGAGCGGCTAGCAGAACGACAGGACAAGATTGTTAAAATAGACGCCCGGGGCGAAAAGGCGGCGTGGGAGTGTGTGCGAGAGGTTGGCGGGTATTTGGCAGAGAGATATCCGAGTTTGTATCAACAATTGGAGGGCGGCGGGAAGGGGGTGAGGAATTTAGCGACGGGGGATGTTTTTGTGTTAGAAGAGGGAGGGGGCAGGAATCCAATGGAAATGCTCGCCCGCATGATCCAGGACGACATAGCCATCATGCTGGAGCGCGAGGACGGTGAGTACTACCTCGCTGCCGGGGCGATTTGTCTCGCGGGGTTTTGGCGGCTGGAGGATAAATTTGGCATGGGGTTGAGCGAAATACACACGTCCGGCGACGTGCCTGGGTTTAAAGATAAGCTCGAAAAGGTGGGTTAGCGAGAGCCAGCGGAGTCGGGGAGATGCTGACAGTTTGTGTGTGCTCAGGGCATGAAGAACTTCTTCCGCCGCTTGCAGCCTGAAAAACCCGTACTCCGGAATAACTACTTCATCCAGGTCGACGACAAACTCGCGTGGAGCGAGAGTATAGGCAGTGAGGATAGTGAGGGGATTGGGTGGTTTACGGTGCGTACTCTCATACTCCACTCACTACCCCCATATGCAAGGAAAGGAAAGGAAAGGGGAAAAGATGCTAATGCTGACGTTTAATGTGTATAGGCCGAGAAAAAACAAAGCAATCGCACACCACTTCTTCCGCTCCGAACGCCAGTCGCTGCGCCGCCTTGCCCCCTCACCGGTGCCGTCGTTTTCACGATACGCACGTACTTCCCTCCCTCGTCACGGAGATTTTGTAAAGATGCTGGGTTGTGCTTGGCAGGTTGGTCTAGTGCGGTGGCGGAATTGGGGGGGATGATGTTACTCAGTACAACGGGAAGGAGATGTATGGCGATGTGTTGTTGGAGTATTTGGATGCGGAGCATGAGGGGCAGGTTAGAGCGGGGGTTGGTGGGTGAGCGGGAGGAGGAAATGGGGGGGGAGGTATCCGTTTTAGATGAGGATGAGGGGCGGGAGGGGAAGGATGTAGCAGATTCATACTGTGATATGCTACCAGAACGATAACAGAGAATTATATTGGTGTATATTATAGCAAGAAAAAAGCAAGTCCTGGGTGTGTTCAAGCTTCAACGTTACAATATATCTCCGTCTTTTGGAGTCTCACTGCGTCACCTGACATCCAACTTATTTGCAACGGGCACCAGGGATGTAGGATTTTTACCCTGCGCTCTTACTCCTTGCCGTCGATCTACACTCGGCTGCAGTGAGGATCATTGGCGAGCGGCGTGATGCCTGATATGGACAGTGTATGTGCTTGCAGCACTCCTGTCGATCATCGCGTCTGTTCGCCAAACAACCACATCACACGCGCACCCAAGTGCATACATGCGAAACCGCAGTTCCAGTTCGACGTTGGAAAGGGTCCAAAGTGGCGACAGTCCTTATTTGTAAGGCATGCGTGCGTCGGGGTACGCTAGCGGTGCTCGACCACGTTCTGCTTCCCGCCAGTGCCAGTGCAACGCTCCAGCCCTCAGCCGCGAGCAAAGTTATGCGGGTCGCTCGATGCGGCAGCTTCTTGCGCGTCTAGTGCGGCGAGTGGTTGGCCGGTGATGGATCGCAGCATGAAGGGAAGGTGGACCACCATCGTGCGCCGGGAGAATATTGCAAGAACAAGGCTGTCGCTGTGTCGCTGTGTCGCTGTGTCGCAACGGATAGTCCTGTGTCATCTTGGGCAATTTCGCATGACGTCGTCTACTCACGGTGGTGTTCTTAGGCAAATGGAAGCACAATCGGCGGTTCGTAGGCCCTTGGGCCAAAACTCAAAAGCATGGTGCCCGGTAGCGCAGGTGCTACTATACAGCCATCCGCACAACGAAGGTGCAGACATGGATTCGACCGTCAACGTGACATGGCATGAATCGTGAATCGTGGATCGCGGCGGCCGCGTAGTGCGCACGAGTCTCTGACGTTGATATCGACTCGGCGCAAGTCCGCTGAGGCTGGGAGGGATCAGCCTTTGACTGTCGGACAAGCCATGCCTGTCGGAAGCCAGAGCGCGTCCCGATGCGCCGCCCATGCAAGCACTTCGCCGACCCTCGCTGCAGCTACCGCCAAACCATGCGTTTGTCGCGGGCGGAGGGCGGGACTGCCATCGCCGTTGGGCGCTGAGAGGAGGATCATGGGCGATGATGTGCAGTACACACCTGACGAGCAGATGCATCCAGCGGACGGCGATGGCTTGTCCCGTGACGATTGGCCGCGTAGACATGCGAACAGGTTCTTGACCCAGGCCAGTGCAGACGGCGGGGCCTGGCGGAGAGCGTCCAACTGGGGATAGCCTGCGATGGCTTGGGCGTCGACAGGGCATGGGTGCCGCTCGGCTGCTTGAGGGCCTGGGCGCTGAGTGGCTACTGGTTGGCTGCTGGGGAAGGGCATGGTTTGGCGTGGGCGAGCAGCGGACAGGGCTGCGACTTCAACCGCTATTGTCGCCCTCTCTTCTGTCGGCTTCATATTGGGATGACTGCACTGTGCGTCTTGATCCTCCGCCTCAGCATGCCACGCCGCCCTCTCTGCTGACGCTGCCCTCGCTGCTGTACTGAGTCTTACTGCGGGCCACAACATGGGGTAGGATGTCTCTTCCGGCACTGCAGCAGAATGCGTACCCAGGACCGGGCTATCCAGGCTCCCCTGCAGCAAGTCACGGTGACCTCGTCGTGGCCGGCGCGCAAAGCACAAACATCACCAAACGGCGCGCCGACGACCAGCGACGCCTGCGACGGGTCAAGGATTCGAGGGAGCAGCTGAAGAGCAGGACACGCGCACGCGCAGCCAGCAACGGGACCATTGAGTCGTCGACGACGAATTCCACCGCTGCCGGCCGCTCCTACACGGTCGCGAATGTGCACGCCGGCGTCATCTATCTGAGGTGGGTAATTACATTTCGTCTTGTGTTGTTTGGGCACGTGAGCGTGAGCGTGAGCGTGAGAGTGAGCGTGAGACGGCGACGAACGAGGAAGGAGCGACCGCCTAGGACTGCTCCCATCACACGCTATTTTGACAACCTCCTCAATGTTCAGTCAACACTAACACGCCATGCAGACCCGTCATCCGCCCGGGCAACCAGCGCTCTCGCCCGCACCCAGACCCCTTCGTCTTCCCTCCCCAGACGCCGCCCGACAGCGCAACCCACGACAGGTACCTGCGCCCGACGAGCAATGAGTGGGAGCAGAGTCTGTATGGTGCCAGGACTCCGCGCTCCGAACCCACCCCCGCCGCCTCCGCTGCCGTCTGTAGGCCCAGAGGATGCCTCGACGACTAGCCAGCAACCGCCACCAGAATCCACCACCGGCGCACGCCCACTCGCCCACGTCCGGTCGCATTCCTTCTCCACCGTCGACGAGCACACGGTGACGTCGCTCGCCAACGAGCCCGGCACCTTCAAGGTCGTGATTGAGCGCGCCCCCTTTGGCCGCCCCAAGACGGCAGACACGACCAACTACCCGCTGCTCGAAGTCCCCATCCCGAGCTACAAGCTGGGCACGCCGCGCTTCAGCCATCGCGGCACCCTCGACCTGCGCAGCTCCGTCTACACGGGCACCTCTACCAACGACGAATTCTCCAACTCGCTGCTCACCCCCCAGTACGCCAACCCTTCCTTCATCTCCTCCCGGCCGCGCTCAGACGCCTACTCGCCCATCCCGCATCGGTACCGCGCCACCATGGACCGGCCGCCGATGCTGACCTCTGCGCCCTCGTCCTCCCGCGTCTCCCAGGCGCCGATTGGCCCCCGCCTGTACGATGCGCTCACTGCGAACCCGGACGACACCACCATTGTTCGATTCTCCTCGACCGGCGAGATCTTAGCCGCCACGCCCTCGCGCCTCGTCGCCCACATCACCTCCCCGAGCTTCCTGGACTACGAACTGCTCTCCGACTTCTTCCTCACCTTCCGCGCGTTCCTGTGCCCCAAGGACCTCGTGGCCTATCTCATCTCTCGCCTGCGATGGGCCGTGGATCGACAGGACGACTTTGGCCGAATTGTGCGAGTGCGGACTTTTGTAGCACTACGCCACTGGATCTTGAATTACTTCGTCGAGGACTTTGTGCCAGCCTACACGCTGCGCACTTACTTCTGTGAATTGGTCAACACCTTGTACAATGATCTACGGAACCGCGCAGATGGAGGCGGGGGCGATATCAAGATTGTCGGCGAACTGAAAAAGTGCTGGAGACGCACATGCGCCATGTACTGGGAGACGGACGATGGGATTCCCCAAAATTCACCAGACGATGAGCTCCTTCCAGGTGGCCACCCTGGATCACAGACATCTATGGAAGAATACGTCCGGACTGCTCCACCTCCCGCCACTCCCAGACGATTGACTGATCGCGACACCAAGGAAACCATGGGCTCGAATCCCAGTGACCACTTTGCCAGCCGGCACATGGAATGGGCGCAGCGAGCTCGCCATACGCCACAAAACTCGTTCAGCTCGCCATACTACCCTTCACAAGAGTACCAAACCGAAGCGGTACCATTATCGCCTGCAAGCGAACAGAGCATGCACGTCTTGTCGTGCTCGATCCCAATGCGGAGTCTGAACAAATCAGAGCAGGCGGTTGATCTCCCTCTATACCCGCATCCCGTTCCAGCTGGTACTGCTCGCGTGGCCGCCGCTCCACAACAGGTCGTCTCAGCCAAGAAGGTCAATCGACCCTCACATGCGCACAAGCGGAGTGGGAGCTTCTCGGACGCATTGAGGGACAGTAGGACCCCATTATCGTTACCTAAACACACATCACCAGAAACAGCAGCGTCAGTAGTCTCCAACATGCCTGGAAGTCTTGTTCGCGGCGGACTTTTCCAGCCTGGGTCGCCCTACGTCGAGACCAAGAGTCTTCGACACGCAAGATCGCATGTTCAGCTTGAATCTGAACATTCTGCCACGCAAGATGCCTCGCTCAATCCTCATGGCCCAGGCATGAAGAAGATTTTTGGGAGTGTCCGTCGAGCCTTGAGCACCAGACAGTCGCCTGGCTCAACCCCGTATCTTGGAGCTTTGTCGAGCCATCGGCAGCCACACTCTCCCCGGTCATCCAACTCTGGTCCCATTTCAACAAGTGCCGGTGCAGTGCAGAAACGACGCACAACCCGGGCCCGGCCGCAAATAAGGATAGATCTGCTAGCTTCGCAAGTTGTTGAAAGCTTCCGGGCAGCAGTGCAACAAGAGTTAGAGAACGAAGGGCAGTTACACCACAGCACCAATCCCCCAGGCCTAGGAGGATTCGAGTTTGAGTTTGAAAGACATAACGCCACCAATTCAGACCGTGAGGGCTCGACCAGAAAGTTCGATCCGCGCGTGCACAGCAACATTACCAGTGGAAGCAAGTCGATACTCATAATCGACGACACTGGAGCTCCACCCTTGCCTGTGATGACAGGTGCTTTACCAACGGCCGTTCAAGATAAGGTGGCAGAGAAGGAGCCAGAAGTCCACGAGCGAGACATCTCTATTGACGTGCAGGCGGTTGACGAGAATGAAAACACAGTCCGAAGATCTGAGCTATACGAGGATCTGAAACTTGTGTCGGCCAAAACTGAACAGCGCGAATCCCGTAACCTGGCCCAGCGTCCTGCACTACGTCTAAGAAGATCCACGTCAGAAGGACGAGAACCAGAACAGATGCATTCTTTCCGACGCCGCGTATCTACGAAGATGTCCATGGCCCGTGTCTCCTTACGACGACACGCTTCACATAACAGTATACTGAGCCGACGGAGAGGTCAGGACAGCGTCGCGACATTCCAGACCATGTCTTCGAACAACGACCCTTTCTTCCTCGACACCCCGACAGGTGTGCCGGCCGCCCCAACACGTCAGCTCCGTCGACGGCCAGGTGGCGATCTTCGCGCAGCGGATAATATCAACGATCTTCAACACATGCAACGACCGCATTCTACAGGGTCGGTCTCGAACCTCACTCATTCCGTAACAAACTCAGTCATCTTGCGTACGGAACGTTTGATCGACCCGTCCCCAGAGCCCAACCAGCAAGCAGGGCCGATCGAGGTAGAGCTACCACCGAAGAAGGCAATATCTTTGGTGTCCACACATTCTTCCCAACCAAATCTCCGACCTTCGTTCGAGGCTGAAGTCGCCAAGCTTGCAGCACTTCCGGACGACACAGACGACGAAGGAGGAGTCGAGTCCGCGCTTATGAAGTTAGAGGGTCGGTATGAAAAGACTTCCTCCAGTAATGCATCCAGCAATGCGTCTTCTTCAGGTACTGTTGAAGTGGACTACTACAAGCCAAGTGGCGCCCCGCGCGAATATGGCCATCAACAGCAGCCGTCAGAGGTTACTGTAGATGACAACACAGACGACGTCTTGCACCGACCACTTGAGGTACCTAATCAAGACGGCCAAGACATGTACCGACTGTCGGGCGAGAACTTTACCCGACGCATGCCAGCAGTCAGCTCTCAAGGGAGGCTCGGAAGACTCATACTCGTCCATTCCCCTTCTCGACCGTGGCATCAGTGGCGTTGTAGACCAACAGCGAGCCAATACCCTCGACACCATGCGATCTTCGGCTAAACCATCGCCGCTACAGCTTGCCCACCAACCTGTCGCCCCAAGCTACCCGAACCATTTCATCGACTTCGTCGCTTGAATATGTTGTCGAGACGGACAGCATGAAGAAGCTGCGAAGCGGTATCGCACAGCCGCGATCATCTGTTGCTCGTCAATCCTTCCTTCTTGATGAGGACGAGGATCTCAGTGACATGGACACGATTGGTGGGAAATCAGACGGAACCAGTCATGGCAGTCACGGCGTGAGGAGTTTCTTCGAGGATGAGCCGGCCATGATGGAACGTAACCCAGAGACCCTGCCAACAACACATCCTATGCGCCATCCCCCTACACCACCCCTCACCGCGGATCGCCTCAAACATGCCACCTCCACTCCGACCATCTTCGAGCGCGGTCTACCAACACCCGGTCTCACTCCTACTGTCTCTGGGCTTAACAACCAGACCTTTGGATCTCCTGTCCGTTCAGTAGGATCACCAAGCGAGACGCATGGCCAAGAAGAACGATCAGCATCGCAAGCATCACACATGCCGTTTGTTCTAGCATACGACTCCGAGGTTCTCGCCCAACAGTTCACCGTCATTGAAAGGGACGCTCTCGATGAGATTGACTGGAAGGAACTAATCGAGCTGCGCTGGAAACAATCATCGCCGCAGATCCGCGACTGGGTGCAATACCTGCGAACCGAAGAAGCTCGAGGTGTTGACGTTGTCATCGCTCGCTTCAATCTAGTCGTCAAATGGGTGGTTTCAGAGGTTGTCCTGACCGAAAACACACACGAGCGTGCTCGATGTATCGTCAAGTTCATCCACATCGCGACACATGCTCGACGCCTACGAAACTACGCAACCATGTACCAGATCGCCATTGCACTCATCTCGAACGACGTCTCCAAACTCCGCAAGACGTGGGCACTAGTGCCTGCCGCCGAACTGCACGTCATGAAGGAGTTGGAGGGTATCGTGCAGCCGCTCAAGAACTTCCACAACCTGCGTCTTGAGATGGAAACTGCGACGGTCGACGATGGGTGCATCCCTTTTATCGGTATGTCAGTTCAACAAGTATTCTATCATGTGCTAATAAACGTCAGGCATCTATACACGCGATTTGATATACAACGCCCAAAAGCCCGCTTTCATTGACGGGCCTGTCGTCGACGGCGAGCGCATGGTGAATTTCGAGCGCCACCACACCGCAGCGACCATCGTCAAGAACCTCTTGCGCCTCCTCGAAGCCAGCTCCAAATACGTGTTCAAAGTCGAACCTCACATCATCAGCAAATGCCTCTGGCTTGCGGCATTGACTGATGATGAAATCAGCCGGCGTGCGCGCCTTTGTGAATGATTGAAGATACCCTGACATATCATAGCCCTACACTACATATTTCTCCGTGCTGGCGTTTGAGCGAGCATTCTCCCGACATATCATATTCAACATCCACCTCTCTCCTTGTCTCATTGGTAATACCCCTTCCATCTGTATCTGGCAGCGCTGCATCAGCCCGACATGAATGACGACCTTGGCTTTTCCCTTTTTGCTTGTTTGCATGGTTGTATTGCACTCAAAACCTAATAGCTCAAGCCCTGAAGAATTGGTATTTTGGTATATAGCGATTGCATGAGAAGGAGTACCATAGTCACAAGATAGCAATGAAATTAATGCTGGTTTAGTATGTTTGCGTATTCGTGTCAGATGTGTTCGCATCATCCTACCGTGACCGGTGCTGCGGTCAAGATAGGGCTGAGCTAATGCACCCCAGCGGAACAAACGTGCCGAGTAGGATCGATTGGGAAACCTCATGATCTGACGGCCCCCACACCTCGACATTGCGCCTTCCTCTAGGCGTCAGGCTTCCCACCATGCGGCTGTCAGAAGATGCGCATGGAAGCCTGCATGGCCCACATGCACAATCTCAGCCTCGCGGCCAACGACTACATGTACTCCGCCCGCCCCCAACTGATGTTTGCGACGCTGTTGCACGAGGTAACGAAGCAAACAAGCTCCGTCAAGCTTCGCAGTCGGACCGCTAGATTAGACAGACAGGCATGGCGAGTTTGAATTTGAACCGCGCGGGGAGCGGCCCTCCTCCTTCTGTCACGGTCGAAGATACGGCTGCTGGAGAAAGTCCGAGCCCGACCATGGATGGTGAGTTGCGACACTAGCATTCTGTTTCTGTTGTAGGGGATACTCACACTGCACACGCAGCCCCCGCCGACCGCACGCGCAAAGGCACATTCGGCTTCGGCCACCGCCGCAAACACAGCCCGAACATCGAGTGGAAAGAGCACTGGACCAAAGACACGTGGGCGCAGGGCCGCGTGCTGCTGATTGATTACTGCGGGAAAGAGCACTCGAGTTCTGGCAGGAAGAAGATTGTCGCGCAGGAGTTTCGCGATATTGATAGTCTACGGCGGTTTTATCGCAAGGAGGATTTGTCCGGGCAGGCGGCGCTGAGGGTGATTCATGTGCAGAATGCGAGTTGGGCGACGAGGTTTTTGCTGCGCAAGTTTAATATTGATGCGAGTGATGATTTGGTGGGTACGACGTTTGGCCGGTGGGCGAGGTATGAGAGACCGCAGCAGAGGGGTGGGAAACCGGTGCTTAACGGTAAGACATTCCGTACCCAGCGCGATCCATGGAGGGGCATTAGTCGCGCGTCGTTTGGCGCGGATTACCTCAAGCACTATCCCAAGCGCTCGATTAACCCGCTGGGCGTGAGTCCGATGATGGAGCTGAACCACTACGACGACGCGGACCAGCCGTGCTACGGCTTCGACGTATACGTGCAGCGGTTGTCTGTGTATGTGCAACTCAGCGACGGACGGCCAGGGCAAGCTGTCGATCCTGACATTCCGAATCCGTACAATGAAGAGGCGTATGAGGAGTACCAGCGGTTGAAAAAGAGCTACGGCAACGTCGACGCGAATGTGCATCAGGAGCGGTATATCCCCAAGCTGCGGACGCTGGATAACAGCAACACGGTCATCATCTTTGAGAACTCGCAGAGTGGGAGCGTCAAGGATACGCTGATTGGGGCGCGGCAGGAATTGGAGAGTCGATGGCGCAGATTGACGTTCTATCTGCCCAGAGAAGATATGGAGAGTGACGATACGCTCGCGACCGAATGCATGGATTTCATACTGAAGGATATCTTCAAGGCGCTGAGTTATAATTGGAATCGCTTCCTGGCGGCGTGTGAAACGCACGTGGGTATCCTCGAGGATAAGATCTACGAGAATCCCGCGGATGAGAGTCGTGCGCCGGAGCTGTGGAAGAACAGCGCGCAGTGGTTGAAGGTCGAGAGGTTGTTGTATATCCACGCGGATCTGTGTAGGGAGATGAAGGGCCACCTTCACGAGCTTGCGAATGGTGATCCCAAAGATGATGAACAGTGGCTCGGCAGCGTCCCCGACGAACTCGACAAGCTCACCGGCCAGTGGGAAAGAGATATCATTGGCCCAACGTCTTCTCTCAGCGATCTCATGTATAAATCCGTCGGGATCCGCGACGCCCGGCACTCGCTGCAGCTCGGACTGAGCATGTGGCGCCTGTCATGGATCACTTTCATCTTCTTACCATTGACTTTCACGGTCGGTTTCTTCGGCATGAACGTCAGCACGTTCGCCGAAAACCCGCCCATTAAATGGTGGTTCATCACGTCCTTCCCCATCCTCGCACTCGTCCTCATCCTCTGGTACGGCGTGAAGCACTCGTTATCCACGCAGCGCCAGAACCCGCTGCGCCGGGGTGTCTACGAGGCGCTGTATCACGAACTCGCGACGCAGCATAGTGAATTGTGGAGTAGGAAGGGTCCGCGAAAGGGCGTCGTGCCGGTAGGATGGTGGAACGGCATTAAATGGCGGCTGGTTACGACGTGGTTCAGCCCCCGCGAAACTCACGCTCGCGCCGAGGAATTACGACCCTGCGACGCAGGAGTTTGGCGCGTGGAGTCGGTGCAAGCAGTATCTTGTGCGGCGGTGGCTTACCGATCTCCCTGTCCTTACTGCATCCTCCCTCCCTACCTCATCCCCCACCACATCAGCGTATGATCAGAACATGGACAAAGACCTCGGCGCCGTGGGGGAGTTGCTGAGTATTGCTACGCCCGTGGCGATTGCGGAACTCGATCCTACGGCGGCGAGTCGCTTGCAGAAGAGGATTCCGGTGGAGAGGCTGAGGAGCTTGAGTCCGTCGGGGAGTGATGGTGGGAGCGAGGGGAGGCCGGGGAGTAGTGGGGGGAGGAGCGGGGTTATGGTTGAGGAGAAGGGGAGTGAGGATGAGAGGGGTGGGAGTGGGGATGAGAGGGAGAAGAAGAGGAGAGATGGTGAGAGGAGGAAGAGGTTGGATGTACCTGCGACGTAGGGTGGATACGATGGGGTTTGGAAGAGGGGCAGGGATTGTGAGAGATGGGGTATCGCATCTTAGAGTGTGCTATATAACTTAGAATTGAGAATACCTTGATAAGCACCTTTTTTCATGCGCGTTGGACGTCAGCAGAATACCACGTCACTGCCACATGCGACCTGCAACTCTTCCACCAGCTGACTCAGCTCAGCTACAAACGCTCCAGAACTTTGGGTATATATTCCACACCTCTCATGTCCATCTCTGTATTCTTCATCCCACACACATGTTCCCGTTTTACCAAAATGCAACACTCTCTGTCGAATGTCTTTTCGTCTCCTCTCCTTAAAAACAACACCTTGGTGCAGTCCATGAGAAGACGAAGCCCAACGACTTATGAGTGATTTCAAAAGTGCCCATTTACTGGTCATACGGGTTTCCGTGGACTTGGTCAATCGCTATGCAGAGTCGCAAACCCCTTATACAAGGTCGTGCGTGGGCTATGCGCTAAGAATTGGATATATATAACGCCCTCAGATTCTCTTCAATCTCCACGTCAGAAGTATCTGCTTCAGACACAAAAAGACCAAAAGAATTGCTCGATGTATGCGCCTGCTCTTCTCCTCTTTCAAAACTATTACAGCTTGGTATATGAATACTGCGTCTGAATGAGTCGAACTGGGAACGAATGACATTTTTCGCGCTGCTCTTTCGTATTGCGGCTGAGCTGAAAAACAATGTCAACTATCTCCTATACATTTGGCCTGAGTTGGTGAGTGTTAATATACGTCTGGTATATAAACTCCTCTTTGCTGGGTATGGCATCTATTGTTCAATAGGCATGTCCAGGATTTAGCACAGTCAAGATCGACTGTCTAGACGAGTTTCTCTGCTGAGCGCCTGATTTTGAAATAAAGTGTCCAACAAGGCGCTGGATGAAGACTGGGCTCAGAATATACCGATACCAAAACCTTCGACGCAGCTTTGGAGTAGCTCAGAGCTAGGATCTAATAAACTTGAGCTCGAGGCGATTATGAGGCTATCTTCACAAAATCTCCGTGTCTCGTCCTCCTCTCCTCTTCCACACTCAATTTCCATTTGTTTCAAAAGCTCGGCTACACACATGCAGGAAGCTTGATGTTCTGTCTCGTTAAAATTCAACTATGAAGCTCTGCATGGTGTGCCGCGACAATAACCTGTTCAAAATCCATGTGTGAAAGTGTGTTGTACGATTTCGGCACATCGTGACACTTGGCAACGAACCGACCAGAAACCACATGCTTGGACACGTCTACACTTAAGCGTATCTCCGCAGACATCGAGGACTTTGCAGCGTAATGAAATCCAAAGTGAAGCTCCCCATAAACCCTATTGGTCAATTCACCCATCGGCATACCGATCAGACGCACTCGGGCCGCACTTCAGCCCGATCTGGCCCAATATACGCCCTTGTTCACCGGTATTCTGTAAAGTTCAGCACCATTCGCCAATGGGTACTGTGATGTCGCGTGGAGTATGAGGTCGATGGCACAAGGCTGACCAACGAGATGAATGGACACACAAGGCTGAAGAACCCGTCCAACTGCCAGCTCATAGAAGCATGCGCACCCCGCACTGCTGAATAGAGTGCCAGCGCAGAGGGTTTGAGCCTCGTTCTGGATGAGAGAGAAGTGGTGGGTTAAAGGGTAGCCTTGGTCGTGTGGGATGAGGTAGCTTCTGAAGCAGTCGATTCTATCAGACGATTGCAGCATGGCACCATCTATCTCCGATGAATATGGTGAACTTAGCTTGGACCGCTCTGATATAAAGAATCCGACGAGTTGCAATAATTATCACGAAGATGCTAGGACAGTCGCCTCGTACGAAGTGTCGTAAGTCGGCCCAACTAAATTCCATCTCAGTCAATCTCACAGACATGCAGACCCTACCAGGACACCAAGATTGTCTCGATCCTCGTTGGCAGAGACGCACTACCTTTCACTATACACAGCGCCGTTATTGCCCAAAGCGAAGTGCTAGCTGCCAAAGTGTCTTACAAGCGCAATGAGAACCAGGTGCTTGCACTCGACCTGGACAATTCTACCGCGCACACGCTGATTGGGTTCATGTACACCGGAACATACAACGAATTGCCCTTGTCGAGTGAGTTGACACGATCTGCAATGTCGGTTTATGAGACGGGTACCTGCGTATACTGCGCTGCTGTACGCTACCAGTTGGCCGGTCTCGTCGACTTGGCCAAGGAGAAGATCATGTCGTCGGATGAAGGAGTGAGCATCTCGGATATTCTAAGGATAGCGAAAGAACAGGCATTCCCTCTTCTACGCGAGAACGAAACATGGTATCCATCTTATCTCGAAGCTGCAATCAAGCGCGCAATGGCCAAGGACCCGGAGCCTTTCAAACGTCCAGACTTTATCACCCAGGTCGAGGGCAACAGCAGGTTGCTCCAGATGGTGTGGAAGACAGTCATCAGCAACTACGCTGGTGTGGTATCGGCGCCAACAACAGGAGGAGGCGATATGCCTCCAATGGATCACGAACAGGAGAAGAGTGAAGATGTTTTGACCTTCCAGAGCCGGCCTCCCGCATCAGTGGATGGATCTCAGACGACCGCCGTCGCGAATGACACCCCAGCAGACCCGCCCTCGCCAGAGAAGTCTTACTATACCACTGCATCAGCTGCTACTTCCGTTGAGAATTCTTTGAAGCTCGACGATATCGAGCCAACGATCGGATATCATCAAGTACCGGAGCCGTTCACCGACGAACTTGACTTCAAGAAGAGCACAACCTTCCAGAAGATGAACAAAAATGAGTCTGTGGCAATCAAATCAGCTGTGGCACCCAGCGATCAGGCAAGATCAGCGCACAAGCGCTCCGACTCAGTGCTGCAAGCTGAAGATGCGGCGGCAAAGGAAACCGACGATGTTGCAGAAGAATCTGTAGAGAAAGCTGAGTCTGCCGACAAGCTTGGGGATTCCTCGCCTTTGGTAGCTGATGGATCATTCGATGCGACCACTGCGTCGAAGAAGGCCAAGAAGAAGAAAAAGGGTGGAAAACCGTCGACTGTTTTTTGACGACCCGAGATTGACGCATAGTGAGGACTGACACAATAGCTGTTTTTGAACATACAGCTTGGATTCTACCCAGAGTGGAACTACCTTAGCAACACATAAATGGGACATTCAATGTAACCTTGAGTTTCATTTTGCACACTGACATGGTCTGGTGCTAATGTACCACATCGGGTCGGTGCTAGGACGATGCTCACGCCGACACAGATGCTACCTGCATGTGCTATCAAACTCACACCAGCACCAGCTACCACGATCTTACGTTGCCCCATCCCAGCGCGGTACACCAATGTAAATGGTTTTCAAGTTGTTTACAGACTTGATACGATCAGCTTCCCATGTTGGCGAGGGCTCAAGCTTATAGTTTCTCCAGCGCAACAAGGACATTAAACAACTTTTGAAGCACGGGTCCGAGTGGGATAGGACTTGGGCAGCTTACAGAACTGTTGAAACGGGCGTTTATGAGCAGACTGGCTCGGGTTTGTAGAAGCGCTGGCTCCTTAGTCGATCTGAGCCACGTAATACTGTAAGATATGTATCTGCAATTATTTGGCATTGAAGGGCGTTCCATCTGCACTTCTTACATTCTATTCTGTTGTCTCACAGAGTCGTTCTTTTGCTTATCCCACCTACGCATATCGTTTGAGTATTTCGTACATGCTGTTCCCTTTTGAGCTCATTATCGCTCCACTTCATTATACCTGTTCAAAAATTCGAATTAGATCTCGCCTTCCTATTTTTGCTGCAAAAGTATTGCTTTCCTGTCTCACATGTCACTCGGTGGTTTTCGGAGTCATTATTCATTGATATGTCACTCCAAGCTCACCTCACAATTGCACCTCGCAACACTACAACCTCCAAGAATACTCCCCAGCAACCTTTTTCAACGGGCACACTTCTGCACCCACAATAACAATTGTACTCCCTTCAATCCCAAATTTCACAACCTCTCCATCTACTTAGGTACTCTCAATTCCTACGCATCCCGTCCCTTCGCTTCCCATCTCACCATCTCACTACACCCCGGCCCCGTCTGTCAGCATCGCTTCGGCATGCACCCAATCACCACCCACGTTTAAATTGCCGGCACGCCACGGCTCACCACCCCGTCGCCCAGCGAGCGGGGAAATATCGCCAAACCCACGGCGCGAACACACGTTTGCTTGTGGGGCTATACAGCGGCGCTGCTTGGGCGAATCAGTTGGCGAGTGTAATACCGATGGCGGTGAATTGGGGGCTTGGGACGTGCGGGGATAAGCTTGTTGAATGGGAGGGAGTATAAGATCGTGATGCTGCTAGGCTGTTGAGGTACCGTTTAACAAGTGAGAACTTTTTGCAAGTAGAAGAAAAACAGAAGGGATAGCAAGATGGCAACGACAAGTGAACCGACGAGTTCCACGCATGATGCCGACCGCATCGATTCCAAACCCGGCCTCAACCACGCTACGACGAATATTTCCATCAGCCCGGAGTTGTTTGAGAAGTTGTATCTGCAGCCAAAACTTGCCCACACTTCTGAGAACGTCAAGAAATATGCGAATGCGACGCCGTTGGGGTTTCTTGGGTGCGTGGCTTACCTTTGTTTCTCTGGACTGGACTGACTTGAAAGCTAGTTTCGTAATAGCGACATTCACGTTCAGCATGGTGCTAATGGGCTGGGGTGGCGCGAGCGGTTTACCTGCTGTAGTGTAACTCTTCCCTCCCCTGCCTCTCTACCCATGATACTGACCTCCCTTATAGTGGAATCTTCTTCTTTACCGGGCCCGTGCTCCTCCTCCTGGCCACAATCTTCCTCTGGATCCAAGCGCAATTCTTCCCCATGATGGTTTGCGGGCTCTTCGCCGTCTTCTGGCTGTCCTTTGGCATGTTGCAACTGCCCACGCTCAGGGCTGGCGGCGAGTTACTCTGCAACGGGGAGCGCAGCGGAGGGCATGGTGAGCAAGGAGATGAATGCTGTGATTGCGTTGTATTTGCTGGTTTGGGGGTTTGCACTGGGCACGTTTTGGCTGTTCACGATAAGAATCAATCTGGTGTTTGCGGGGATATTTGGATTTGTGACGGTGGGCGCGTGGGTGTTGAGTGGTGCTTATTGGGCGCTGGGTAATGGGCACTTTGACAAGGCGTTGAAGTTGCAGAAGGTGAGTAAATCGGTCAATTGTTGTTGGCGGATGCCGTGTGCTAAATTTTCGCAGGCGGGTGGAGCTCTGTTGTTTGTTGTGGCATGTCTGGGGTGGTATATGCTGTTCGTCATTATGGCCGCAGAGATGCGGTGGTCGATGTGCCCGCCAGTAGGGGACTTGAGCCACTACTGGGCCAAGACAGATGTTGAGCTGGCAGCGATGGAGAATGAGAAGAGGGAGTAGAAGCCTTGCTGAGGCTATAATTTGGTCAGAAGTACCAACCTGTGTCAAATCGATAATGTAATCCAAAAACCGGAACAAAAGTCAGTGTTTTGTTCACAAGTCATCCACTTGAGCCGATTCGAGTTTGTTTGGTGTTATTCGAGCTACTCACTCAGTGACTACGGCAGGCCTTTGTATACCTTTTCATTCATATGTTTGGTCCAGCGCAGAATAACGCGTGCTGGATGCTACCATCCTCTGCGGGACGTCGTCAAAACATGTCTACGGGTGTACCCGTAGCTATCTCCACAGACGTGTTCTGCCAATGGCCCGGGTTTGTTATGGCTTGCTTCTGGGGAGGGATCATCCTCCCTTTCGCGGTGCGATCGGCATAGCGACCGGAGCGCGAGCGGCTCCTCCGCCGCCCTTCTTGCGCTGGTAGTAGTGTTCCACGACCTTGCGCACATGAGCCTCGCTCTGTGCCTTGTCTGCTGGAGCTTTGATGCTGTCAAGCGTGTATGGGGGCTGAATGAGGACCGAGTCGTTCACGACGATTTGCGCATCCGCCCAGCGGGTTGGGAGTCTGAAACTGAATTAGATGGTGAAGCTTCACATAGGCGGCTTGTACTCACGTCCTCGAAATCGCATCAAAGAGCTCCTGTGCCTCCCTGCTCACACCCTTGCCCTTCTGGGCATCTTTCTTCTTCATCTCACGGATCGTCTGCTCCTCACGTGCCTGGAGCGCAGCCAGGTCGACCTTGGCGATGCTCGGTACGGCGCCATCAAAGCCAGGTGCCGACTCGGCTGCGCGCTCAGCTGAGCCCACTATCTCGAATGACACGATGTGTGCAAAGGGAATGATGTGGTAGTCCCCTGGCTGGCTGGCGAGAGGTGCCGAAAGGGTTTGGCGGGGCTGGCGCCGTGTTGATAGCAATTGCGTTGGTGAGGTTGCAGGGCTGTGAAGAGGGTGCCCTCAAGGACATTGTTGTTCGGGGCGCATGTGATCTTGATGCTGCGAAATGTCAGGACACCCATGGTTGATATTCTGCTGCCCTGGAGACCAGTGCGGTGCCAGAAGAAGAAACATACCGCGATCCGACGGCCTTGTACAGGTTCGAATCCACATCAATCACATCCTTGGTAGAGCCACCACCAACTTTGAGGTTTGGCGTCGCAACCTTCCCCGCGACGCTGTTGCGCTTGTCCGCCATAGGCTGTTCCCGTGCTGACTCTTGCTATGCCTTATGCTCGTGTGTGATATCACCACCTAGGATGCAACCACAAGTTACCGGATACTCCGCAGGCTCGACGCTGAAGTGTCATGCAATCTGCAACAAAGCAATGCAAAGGAGCGACGAGAAGAGGGAGACCACAAGTTGCGCGCGACGTGGGGGGATATTATCGCAGGCGCGTCGCGACTGGAGCTACTGAAGCTCGGGATGAATGTGGGTTGTCGCAGGCTGGAAGCGCTACGGCACTGGATCGCGGTGCCAAGACTCGACTGCCAGCGCTTGCTGTCGGTTTAACAATGTAGCCTGGCTTATTTGTGGATTGTCAATCTAATGGCGCTTTGCGCTCTGGATGCTCAGCACGCGTTGGACTGCATCAGAATGGTTGATGTTGTGCACTCAGTCGCTTCGTGGATTGTCCTCGGGCTTCAATACTTAACGCCATTCGGTTAGCGTGCCCGGTCGACATCACTTCGGCCGTCAAGCCTCGCAAACATGCAATTGTCACATCTTATTTGTCCTGTGAATCGGTTTCATTCTAGATTCAAGCTATGTCTTTGCCCACATATTTCATTAATCAGGCGTAAAGCTCATGTAGCGCGGCGCCTCGTCCAACAAAGCTATGGATATCTCGTCTATGCGTTGTATGTCTGTGACAATTGTTAGCCTTCCTCCGTGAAGATAGTACCCGTCGACTTACTGAGGCAGAAATGTTGCCGCCACGTCCGGTCCAGTTGACGTGAATGTCCTGGCCCACCTTGTACTGCTCGGTGGCGCATTCTGGCTTGATCCTGAAGGTATGCGCGCCGAAGTAGTCACGCTGCGCCTGCAGCAAGTTGGCGGGCAGGTCCTTGGCGCGGTATCCGTCGTAGAAGCTGAGCGCGGTGCTGAAAGCGGGAGTGGGGATACCCCAGAGAGCACCCTTGGAAACAACACTGGCACAATGTTAGTACAGATCAAAATCGTCGAGGAGACAAAACTCACTCTCTCCATCCGGATTGCGCCTTGTGGATAGCCTTGTTGAAGAAGTCGTCGAAGAGCAAGTTCTCGAGCTCGGGGTTGGCGCGGTACGCCTTTGTGATGTCCTTCAAGAAGACGGATCGGATAATGCAGCCACCGCGCCACATGAGCGCGATCTCGGGCTTGTTCAGCTTCCAGTTGTACTCCTTGGCAGCCTTTCAAGATGTCAGTTTTGAGCTGGACAGATTTTTGCGAATTACTTACGTTCTGGATCAGCATGAAACCCTGGGCGTACGAAATGATCTTCGATGCGTACAGGGCCTGCTCGAGGTTGTCGATGAAGGCCTTGCGGTCTCCAGAGAAGCTGGGGCTAGGTCCGTCAAGAAGACCAGCAGCACGGCCACGCTCAGACTTGAGCGAACTCAGGCAACGAGCGAAGACGGCCTCACCGATCAAGGTGACGGGCATACCGAGATCGAGAGCGTTGATGGCAGTCCACTTGCCGGTTCCCTTCTGGCCAGCGGAGTCCATGATCTTCTCAACAATGGCAACACCGTCATCGTCGTTCTTGTACATGATGTCGCGGGTAATCTCGATCAGGAAAGAGTCGAGAACACCCTTGTTCCACTCGGTGAAGACATCTCCCATCTCCTTGTTGCTCATGCCCAGACCGCGCTTCATGATATCGTAGGCCTGAAAGTTGTCAGCATTCTCCTTCCAGTCCTGCAATTCCTTGTCTCACCTCGCAAATCAGCTGCATGTCACCGTACTCGATACCGTTGTGCACCATCTTGACGTAGTGGCCGGCACCCTCGTCACCAACCCACTGACAGCAGGCCTCGCCGTCGGACTTTGCGGAGATGGACTGGAGAACATCCTACAAGACTGTCAGAATTGTGTCGCCAATTTCTGCCGAATTTCCTACCTTGATGTATGGCCATGCCTCCTCGTTACCACCAGGCATGATGCTGGGTCCGTAACGAGCGCCCTCCTCTCCTCCGGAAACACCGCTTCCGACGAATCGAATGCCCTTCGAAGCAAGGTACTTTGTACGGCGGTTTGTGTCGGGGTAGTGGGAGTTTCCACCGTCGATGATGATGTCACCCTCCTCGGCGCCACCCTCGGTCAAGAGGAGCTCGATGAAGTCGTCGACGGGCTTGCCGGCCATGACAAGCATCATCATGCGGCGGGGCTTCTTGAGCTTCGCGACGAACTCCTTGATGGAGTGTGCGCCGACAATGGACTTGCCCTTGGCCTCTATTTCACGTCAGCCTGGATAGTCCACAATTTTCAGGGAGCCATACCATCGTTCAAGAATCGGTCAACCTTGGCAACACTGCCGCTCGATTAGTACGCGCCTATGTTGGTGGCCGCTGCGGTTGCTTACGTTCTGTTGAAAGCAACAACCTATGCGCCTGTTAGTGCTGCGGGTGAAAAGGAATGCAAGGTAGTTCATACTGTGAATCCGTGGTCGGCGCTGCTTGATGTTAGCACTGTGGATGAGAGGTTTGCTGCTGGAGCTGTAGCTTACGCGTTAAGGATCAAGTTCTGACCCATGACCTGTACGACAACAGTCAGTGCTCTTCACGTTACAATTGTGGTTTTCATCAATTACACACCGCAAGGCCAATGAGACCGAAATCACTTCAGAACTTGTTAGTATATGTTCCCTTGGGTGTGATGGCGTTGCTTACCCAACGGCTTCAGTCATGGTTGCGGTTTTGTGTAGGAAGTTGCTGGAGGATACGCGGTATCAAAAAGCTGCAGCGACCTGGCGCGCAACTATGTGATGTGATTTGAAGCTGAAAAAAGCTGTGTGATGACGAGGGAGGAAGAGACAAGAAGTGGTGGGGGTGCAGTGCAGATAAGTACTGTGGTTCTCCGACCGGAAGAGTTTGGAAAAGAGAGCGGGGCACTAAAGGTTGCGTCAAGTGGCTGCGATGGAAGGAAGCACGAGCCGTCAACATCCCTACAAACTATTCTAATCCACATAGTGACGGAGGTCATCATAGCTTCGGCCGCGGCGGTAACCGTATCCAGTTTGCCTAGCTGTTGCCAATTTTACCGTGTAATTGTTTGCCCTTCCTACAATCGGAGATTCTGGTCGTCGTCTCACTAGAATTCGGGTCCCCCACGGCGTGGGCTGGTAGCTTCGTTGAGTTCTGCACTCACTCTGCACTCTACAATCAAATACCACAGACATGTTAAAGACTTCCGCCTATGTTATCATCAACTGCTACGAGCTATCTTCTCCGACAATGCTTGTTTGGAAGACTACCTCCGGCGGACGCGTGCGGAAATGCTACGCCTCATGAATGGACCTCTGGTCTGGGACTGCCCCTCCATCTCAGCCTTAACGCGTGCTTACGGAAGGAGGGGCTGTGTGCAGGGGTGCTCGGACGCGCTAGAGACAAGTCTCGACTGCAGATACTGCAACTGAGGGAGTTGTGGTTCATTAATGCACGGGATAGATGGATGCTTGCAGCAAGTATGAGCTGATGTCGCATTGTCGTCACCAGGCCGCACGTAATGCGGAATCGTCCCACTTTGTGCAACCCTGCAGCACGCCGAATGTGCTGCAGCGGCTTGGTCGGCAGGATTTCGAGTCACGTGCAGGGCCCGCTAGGAGCACGGATAGTTTTGCTGGAGCCAAGGCGCCCACTCCCAGCGACATACCCAACAAATCACGCTGCCACTCATCGTTTGACGCACTCCAGCGGCAATTACAATCTGCCACCGGCCCGCCATCCCACACTACTCCTTCGAACCAAGTTCGCGCCTGAATCTGCGCGCGCTATACCCGCGACCCAGTGTGCAGTCACTTCGGGTAAGACTTGTCAGCGATTCACTGCCTAGTCAGCAGCTTGAAGCCCCCCAACCCTGCCGCCATCTTACCTAAGCAATCAAGATCGTGAACGGACTGTGCGTCCCCTCACCATCGCCAACTTCGACTACGAGCCTCCGCCATCAACCCAACACGCCTACCACGCTCTCTCGAGAAACGTGTGCGACACACCTCGAGCCAGCCATCCACGACAACAGGAGCACGGATTCTATCAGCTTCTGGTAAAGTCATCACTTCACTGAGATTACCCTGAACTGACGTGCACCTCCTGTCTCAACTCGCAAACATGCAGCCTCAACACTCACTTCCAGCTCGTCCCCCGCCTTCTACCTATTCGGCTCCGCCGTCCAGGCCCAACCACCCCGGCGCGAGAGGCCAGAGCAACCCATCCATGTATGGCGGCTTCACACCTCGCTCGGTGGCAGCACATGCTCCTCCACAAGCTGGCCCATCAGCTCTGTACTCGCAACCCACAGTGAGCACTCCATACCAAGCGACCGCTTATGCGAGCAGCAATGCTTACTACGACAACTCATATCCAGCATACGCCGCTGCCGCACCCACTCCGTCGTACCCAGCTGCGCCTCCCATGAACAGTGCTGCAGGTGGCACCTATGACCCGGAAGAAGAAGCTCGCATCGCAGAGTGGAACAGCGCATACAACAAGGACGATGCCGCCTTCAAGAAGGGAATCAGCGCGAACGTTGGCGCCCGTACCGATGCGGTCGCAACTCCGGATGCTGAGCCCGCGGTGACAGCAGACGGCAAGCGCAAGACGGTTGTGCGCGAAGGAGGTGGAAAGACCTGGGAAGACCCTACGCTCCTCGAGTGGGACCCTATGCATCCGCGCCTGTTCATCGGCAACCTCGCTGGTGAGGTCACGGACGACTCGCTCCACAAGGCCTTTTCCAAGTACCCTTCCCTCGTCAAGGCCCGCGTTGTCCGTGACAAGAAGTCAACAAAGAGCAAGAGCTATGGCTTCGTCAGCTTCTCTGATACCGACGACTACTTCCGTGCCTTCAAGGAGATGAACGGCAAGTACATTGGCAGCCACCCAGTCAAACTCAGCCGAGCGACATCGGAGGTGAAGGCGGTCATCAAGAAGGAGGACAAGCACCACCACCATGGAAAGAACAACAAGAACAACAAAAACAACAAGAACCAGACCAACCGACCCAGCGCCGTCGCATCGGCTCCTGTTGCTCCCAACCCCGTCGCTTTCATTCCTAGGGGCGTCCAGAAGAAGGGCAAGTCGGCCGGACCTAGACTTCTTGGCTAGGTGAGGTTTCTGTACTCTCACCAGCGCATATTGTGCAAGTTCTGTGCACTGCTCGAAATGCTGTGGCAGGGTTAGTATTGAAGCAGGCAGTTATCCCAAGGGTGGTGGCCTGGTTCTCTTTCTTTGTGCATATTTTGCCCTTTCATTTGTACCACGAGCATGTCGGGCGAGTTGGGCGTTAAGAACCCTTAATACGGTCTTCAAAATGGATACCTGGATCGTCGGTCAGCGTCTCCTGCAAGGCGTTAGGTTAATAGCTTGAGCCATGAGCAATTCAGGCTTTCATTGCAACGATCTCCCAACCTCAATGAAGCCTTTTTCAGTGATGACATGCACATGTAACAGAAGAATCAGTGTGATTTCGTAGGTCAATCTGCTACTCAAAAGACATTGTATATATGCCCGCTACGGAATAGATTGCGACGCACCGCTCTCTCGTTCTAAGCAAAAGACTCTTTTCCCCTTCCGCAATCAAGCCTATCTGTCACAGCGTGCACCAAAGAGCTGTAAAAACTAGATGTCACGGCACTCGGAGGTGGGTGTCCCAGTGGTCCTCATGCTCTTTCCTACATCGTCTGTTTACACATCTGCATGACATAATCGAGCTAGCCCGGTGGAAGAAGGAGCTCGCGAACTTCTTCACTCTAACACTCCATTCCGTACTGCAGGTTACTGACTACGACAGAAACGTGAACAGCTGGTTGTCAGTCTAGCTCACGATTTTCAGTACAGTAGCCGTGTATCATGGTGCCTCTCATCACCGTCGTTCTATTGGGCAGGTGCGTGTGTGGCTGCAGGCCTCGCATGGGCTCAGCCTCGTAGGCTGCAGGGAACTTCGCGGCGTTGCTACACTCTCGCCCTTCTCTCTTTCGTTTCGCAGTGCTGTTTTCACTTGCCAGAGCCGTCGAATGGACCCCCTCACCATCACATCGACCGTGGTAAGTAGACTTTTGTGACACTCGTCACTACCCGGGTAAAGGCCCTGTGCTAACAGTATCGCAGCTCCGAATCACTGGCAGCTGCGTCGGTGCGGCACATACGCTATGGGAGATACGTAACGCATGGAAACGTGCACCCATGACAGTCGACACTTTGTGCTCGCAGCTCAAGCTCACTGCCGCCTCGCTATCTCAAATTCAGTCACTGCTCCTTGGCGACTCCGATGTCTTGCGCAATAAGCCGGACTTGGTGGATACGTTCGACACTACCTTAACTAGCTGTCTTGTCCTGTCAACGTCGTTGGATAAATACATGTTGAAGATCAAGAAAGGTGCTCTCCAAAGTAGTAAGATGACGTGGAAAGCCAAGTTCAAGACGCTCTGGAACGAAAACGAGGTCAAGGAGTTGCTTGGCCACTTGCATACACAGCAAGGTGGCGTCAGTGTATTGGTAAACCTTTTACAGATGTGCGTCACATTTCTCTCATTTAAAGCGCATATCAATTCTGAGACAACATATAACTCGATATGACGGTGTCTCAAATGGACTTCAAAAGACAACTAGCTAACAACTCACATAGGGACTCCATATCTGATATCAGAAGACTAGTGCAACAACAGGATAGGCTCCTCCGAAAGATCGCGGCAAACACTCGTGACCTACGAGCCCTCGGTGTGGTCGCACCAGAATCTATCCTAGGGACCGATGAGACAAACGACAGCATCTTTACTCAGCTCATTCACAGTAAGGATGATGAGGGCCACGGCTTTGAAATCGACATACTTAACTCTAAGGTTTACGCCAATGCTTTCACGGCCATATTTGCTCCTGCTGCCGATGATGGCCAATCCGATGATGCGCGTACTATCATAGAGCCGGCACGCAGTCATGTAACGCTCGCTATCGATGCTCAACAGATCAGATCCTCGATCAACAATCTGCATGTCATCGAATTATCTGCCCGATCTCATGTGCCTTACACTGCCCGTTCGATTGAAGAGCTCAGCTTCAAGGTAGAAAACATTATTACCAAAATACAACAAGTGACAGAGTCTCAATATCGAGGTGAGATATTTACAGAGTCGAGGGCAAGTCAAGGTAGGCCTGGGTTCTTCAATCGACGTGACGTTGTCATGTGGTATATGCTAGGTTCGCCTTTGCAAGCCCACACCAATGTTGCTTGCAGTATTTGGCTGAACCATCCGTACCTTAAGTATCAGGAGAGTGAAACATTGTGGATCAAGGTAACGTAAGACGCTTCTTCCGCTATTGAATACCCGCCTAATCTAAACCCAGTCAATAGGTCATACGGCACTTTGGATGACTGGACTCCAAGAAGACGTAACAAATAGAGATATACACAAGGTGTTTGTGTGTGATCTAACGTTCGACGCAACTTTGAAGCAGGATATCGATCGGCTTCTAAAGTATTTTGCCAATCCGATGCCAGCGCTCACATTGCTTTCTCAGAGTGAGCTGTATAAGCGAATGCGCGACATTGTTCGAAATGGCAGTCGCCACGAACATTGCGCGCTGCTAGCACACTGTAGTTCACTTGCGGAGTTGCAATGTGTAGCATTAGAAATGAAGAAGTGGTGGGAAGAGCAGCACTGCCAACAGACGGTGGTACTTTTGGCTTCTATTACCGCTTGCTGCTTATACAAGCAGCAAGTCGTCGAGCGTATGTAGTTAGGCACGGTAATAGCAGTGACTTTGCAAGGAGCATTAGTGCTGCCTTACTAATTACTTGGTTCTCTCAGGGGCCAAGAGCCTAGATATATCAAAAATCTGCCCATGACAACACTTGTGATTATGATCTCGGTACACCTAAATTCGGCCTGGGTATTGCGACGGTGATAGGTAATCTTAGCAGTACTACGGCTTCCTAGTAGTGTTGATAACCCTAAATGTTACTACAGTAAGTAATTCGCTCTAGAAGCAATAGTGGCAGAGCTTATTGAGCTAAGCAAAGCAGTACTACTGCCTGTTGGTAGCACTGGGGCCCCTAGGGAGCAACTAGCAGTAGAGAGGGGACGAGTTAATCAGGTTACTGACGGGGAGCGGAGAATGCTGCAGATACGGAGCATTTTGGGAAGACAGAAGATGGCGTTAAACCTGAATATGTACGGTTCGATCATTACTCAGTCCCGTCGCACAAGTAGACAAGGCTCTCCTAACTCAAGGGGTTTCGAAACAGAAAATGAGATGCATAAATTGCCTCTTATATTACCTCTTGCTGCTTATATTCGCCGTTGCTGTTTTCCTTGTGGTCGCGATTTCATCAACCGGGAGGAATCCGCGTCAGAAACGAGCGACAGGAGCTTACCGTTGCTGGGTATATCGTCGCCAGTGAGACGCTTGGATTAACGTTACTTCAGCTTGTTCTAGCGTCGCGGGTCGTATAAACATTGTAGCGACGTAGACTGTGTAGGGAATGTATGCAAGAACGATGAAGCCTTCACAATCAGGGGCCGACAAATAGTTTACATGCATGCCCAAAGCTTTGCAAGACTCAGGCCATCTATAAGCTGATGCTTACATGACACAGAACCCAAGATGTGTGTTAAGGTAATGGCTTTGAGATGCACTGACGTCCAGCACGCTCACGTCGTCCCATACTTGGACCCCCCACCCCTCACAACGGCCCTTTCCCTCGCATTCCTCACCTCCCACTCAAACTCCCTGAGCGCCCTCATTTCACTCCCGACAAACAACAGCCCCATAAGCCCATCAATAACGCCCACACTCAGCCCCACCGAACTCAACAGCATGAGCAAGAACGCGACGTAATTTCGCGGACTCCACCACACGCCGACCAAACAGCCTATGGAGAGGGACAGCTGGAAGAAGAAATGCCCGATGCGCAGTTTGCGCTGGACGCGCTCGCGGACTTGGTATTTCAGCGTGGTGGCAAGAATCTCGTCGTAGGTTTCTATTGGGAGGTATGTTTCCTCGGGGGCGAGGGGGGAGGCGTGGATGTCTGGGGCACTGGTGCTGTTTCGCGTCAAGGTGGCTTCTACGGAGAAGTGGTCGCTGAGCGAGCAGTGGAGTGTAGGGTGGCGCATGGTCATGCCGACGTTTGCGGCGCTGAGTTGCCATTCTGGTGTGTCTGCGCCGTGGTAGCGGGCGGAGGAGAAGAAGATGTAGTCGAGGCGTTTGGCATTTGGGTCCGCTACTGTAGGGTCGATTTGGACATTTTCTCCTTTTGCGAGGCGCTTCTTATGCGCTTTGTTCCAGCGCCAGGTGTTGAGTTCGGAGTCGCATGTTGCGCCGTTGACGGTCAGGTTGAAGTTTGCGGTAGGGATGGGATTGCCGCGGGCTTTTTCGACTTTGTCTTTTGCGGCGCCGAGGGAAGAGTCGGGGTGGAGGATGCGCCAGACGTCGCGGACGGGTGAGTGTGTTTCTATTATGCGGTGGGCGAGCGAGAGAGGGACCATGTTGAAGTCGCCCAGGCCGATGACAAGGTGGCCACGCTCGGCAGCGCCGCGCATAAGTTTTGTGATTTCCCAGGCTTGGGCGGTGCGGTGGCATATGTACGAGTCGTGGGGTTCAGTTTCGTAGGGGGCGTGGAGCTTTCAGACGTCAGTGAATGATACCCATGTGTTGAGGAAGTGAGCTTACATGAGTGCAAAAGACCTCAGCAATGTCTCTCCGGCCAGGTCCTATGCGTATCCTTGCACATGCCACGCCCTTTCCTACGAACCAGTCTCCGCGGTAGAAGGCTGCAGGTCGTCCGTTCAGCGGATACCGCACCATGTTGCTCTCTTCAAGCGGCCATTTTGACAGGATCGCCAGTCCTCCGCCAAATATGCCGCTGTGGTAGAACTTTCCATACGGAAGGAAGCTATTGGTCTTCTCTCTTATGACGTTGTAGTCCTGCTGTGTCCAGCACTCTTGCAGACCGACAATGTCTGGTCGGGGGTCCGCAGCGGCAATTTGGTTTGCGATTTCAGTGAGGCGCTCGTTGCGGAGTGTTGCTATGTACTTGAGGCCCCAGCAGTTGAGCGATAGGATCCTGATGCTCGAGGGAGGCTGCTCTGAAACCATTGTGAGGGTTGCAACTGTCAGTGTTGCGAGTGGTAGAGTTGTAATGATGCAACTGGGGAAACATGATGGAGCTGTCGCAGGGATCAGGGATCAGGGATCAACTTCACGTCACCGCCCGCGCTAAATGACATATTGCCGATCCCGTCGCGTTCCCCTTCAATTGCTCACGACACATGCAAACACCCAAAATGGACGGCACTCGCTCGATATCGCCCAAACGACCACGAGAGGAAGAAGATGGATACGGCGATGAACCCCCCCGGAAACGCTCGGCTTCGCGCACACCGCCCGGCGCCTCGCCCACGTACAGAATAGCAGAACGGCCCGCGCGCCGCTACAGTCGCGACGAAAGTGATGAGGACCGACGGTACAGGAAACGAAGCTACTCACATTCATCACCGCGGTCGCGGTCAGGCTCGCGCTCTTCACGCCGGCGCTCGCACTCGCCAGGCTCAACCCCCCCGCCCCCGAAACCAACATCCCTCAACTACAAACCCACCCTCATACTCCGCGGCCATAAGAAGCCTATTTCAATCATCCGCTTCTCCCCCGATGGACGCTACATCGCCTCCGGCTCCAGTGATTGCACCATCAAGCTCTGGAACAGCACTACCGGCACCCTCGAACATAGCTTGGAAGGGCATCTAGCTGGTATAAGTGCCCTGACATGGTCGCCCGACAGCCGCATCCTCGCATCCGGTAGCGACGACAAGAGCATTCGCCTCTGGGACACGCAAAAGGGCCTTGCACACCCCACCCCGCTGCTCGGCCACCACAACTACGTCTACTCCCTGTGCTTCTCACCAAAGGGAAACATGCTCGTCTCCGGCTCCTACGACGAAGCCGTCTTCCTCTGGGACGTGCGCGCCGCACGTGTGATGCGCTCGCTCCCCGCGCACTCGGACCCCGTCAGCTCCGTCGACTTTGTGCGCGACGGCACGCTGATCGTGTCCTGCAGCCACGACGGGCTGATTCGCGTCTGGGACACAGCCACCGGCCAGTGTCTGCGCACCATTGTGCACGAAGACAACGCGCCCGTCACCTGTGTGCGCTTCTCGCCAAACGGGAAGTACATACTCGCCTGGACGCTGGATTCCTGCATCCGCTTGTGGAATTACATCGAGGGCAAGGGCAAGTGCGTCAAGACGTACCAGGGGCATGTCAACAAGACATATAGTCTGAGCGGTGCCTTTGGCACGTATGGAGCGGGGAGGGAGCATGCGTTTGTTGCGAGTGGGGATGAGGACGGCGTGGTCGTGTTGTGGGATGTCAGTAGCAAGAATGTCCTGCAGAGGCTCGAGGGGCATGAGGGCGCGGTCATGAGTGTTGATACGCATCCGAGTGAGGAATTGATGGCAAGTGCGGGCTTGGATCGCACGGTGAGGATTTGGAGGGCTGGGAATGATCGCGTGAATGGTGTTAGAGAGGCGGAGGTTAAGCAGGAACATGAGACGAATGGGTCTGATCCGGAGACCTTGCCGCCGACTCCTTTTGTCGAGACATAGATGGGGTTTTAAATGTGAACTAGAGGCGGATATTAGATACCCAGGAAGTAAATATTCATGACTTTGATTGCATCTTCATTCCTTCGGCTGCATCAAAGTGCAGACCCTACAAGAAAAATTCACAGACAACACCCGAGATTGGGTGTTACCTACACGATTAATATGCACTTGGCTCTTCACCTACTCTCAGAATGGAAATGACGACTAGCGCCCCCTACGATCGCCATCCTATCAACAATGAGTCACTCCAAACTGTATAAAGGATCCCAAGTCCAACTATGCAATCCCTAAACCACACAAACAATGGCTTCACTACCCCTTGCCAAATGCTGCATATCAGGCGTCCTACATACCGGCACGCCAGTCGGCTCCATCAAAACCATTGGAAAAAGTATTCCTCCCCAATCACTATCCCATCCCATCCCACACCCCAACTAACCCACCAAAAAAAAAGCCCAAGCCTACCTATCCTACCCAAAAGATTCCTCAACGCACCACGCCATCCTCCTCCTCACAGACGTCTACGGCTACACGTTCCCCAACACGCGCCTAATCGCCGACCAATTCGCCGCCCGGGGCTACTTCACCATCATCCCGGACCTCTTTCAAGGTCGAGAAGTCTCCTTCCCCGCGCCCGATGATTTCAATTTGCAGACGTATATCCACAATGTAATGCCGCGCGTTGAGACTGTCGATCCGATTATTCGTAGCGTCATAGAGGATATGAGGAATGAAATGGGCGTGCAAAAGCTGGGCGGCGTGGGGTATTGTTTTGGGGGCAAGTATGTTTGTCGGTGGTTGAAAGAAGGGGGGTTGGATGCCGGGTTTGTTGCGCATCCGAGTTTTGTTGATGGGGAGGAGGTGAAAGGGGTAAAGGGGCCGATGAGTATTGCTGCTGCGGGTGAGATCTGCTTTGCTCTCTTTGTATAGGCAACGGGGCTGACAAGGTGTAGAAAGCGATGACATCTTCACGGTTGAGAAACGCCGTGAGACGGAGGAGATACTGAGGGAGCTTTCGGTGCCGTGGGAAATGTTCTTGTATTCAGGGGTAGAGCACGGGTTTGCGGTGAAGGGACATATGTCGACGAAGAGGGCGCGCTTTGCTAAGGAGCAGGCGTTTGGGCAGGCTGTGGCGTGGTTTGAGGAGTATCTGAAGGAGGAGTGACGAGTCTCAGGTATCGGGTTGCTCCATGGAGTTCAGCTCTGAAGACGTAGCCTTCACCTGCGCAGCCCATGGCGGCTCGCCATCATCATCAAACTCAGCCCACTGGAAGAAGCTGCAGCCATCTTGGCCCGGAATATAATTGGTATGGCACATCCACATGTATCTTCCTCTTGACTCTTTCTTTCTCGTCGCGCACCGCAGCACTGTCGGAACCCCACATTTGCACTTTGGCGTATATTTCGGATGCAGATTGTCTTTGTAGAAGCGATAAGTGATGTTGAGTCGCTTGTTCTTCGCCAACGGATGGGGATCAATCGTTTGTGCCGGCGCGATGGAGTGCTTCCACTCTTCTTGCATCTCGGCGTGCATAATGAGCAACGAGTTGTGTGGGAGGTGTATGGAGATCTGGCCTTGTGCATCGGCGAGTGTACCGTCTGCTTTACGATAATCGTCGCCCTCCGCGACTACCTTGCGGACACGGAACTCGCGAGCGACGCCAAGGCTGAGGCTGCCGATGACTGCGCGTGGACCGAGATATGTGAGCTGATCTGCGTGGTAGCCTACATTCTCCTTTCCGCCGTCATAGCAGTTCACGAAAGCAGTGTTCGCTTTCCATGGGTGAGGTGACTGGTACTTCAGTTTCTTTCTATCGGGGTAGAAGTCGCGTATCCGGCGCTGTACTTCGCGGTTGACGGCTTCTTCGACTTGTGGACAAGCTCTAAGCATCTCAGGCACGCTCTGGCGCACATCCTGGACAGATTAGCATAGCTAAAAATTGCTCCGGTAGGAAGTCCTACCTCAACCTTGCGTCCATCATATATGTATTCTGTCTTTTGCTCCTCTGCCTCAGCCATGCTGTTGACGTAGAAGCAGAAAGTGTGTGGACTCCAAACAACCTTATCGAACAGCTTGAACTCTATGCTACTGTAAGTGTCGGCCTCATCGAGCAACTGTAGGAGTAGATCATCTGCCTGCTTTGTGGGAAGGAAGTTGTGTATGATTGAACATGGTGTGTGTGCTTCAATGTCTTCAGGGCTGTATAGATGGAGAGTCTGTCCTTTCTTGACAAGCTGCTTCTTGATCGGTCCGCCTTCTTTCGGAGATATGCGATACGAGCTCAGAGATGACTGAAACCCTACGCTGGTTGGGGCAGATCGCTTCCTTGGAGATGTGTTGTTGCGATGCGCGAGCCAGTCTGATGCCTGTTCGACTGAACCTTCGGACGCGAGTAATGCTTCCAGCAATGTTGTCTCATCCAAAGAGGGATGTAATGAGGCTAGAATCGCCAGCTTGAAATCCGTCGACTCATCCTCTTGTGCCCCATTCTCTTGAGGTGGCGTAGGGACTTGCGCTCCTACAAGCTTCTCTGGCTCTTCAACCCGCCTCCTCTTTCGCGACACGAATGCATCCATATCGTCTCCGTGCGATGTCTAGCAGCACCATGATGAGTCGATGGCGTGTAGGTCCTGCAGGCGCGCCTGCCAACGCCATCGCGCTGTCACGTGGCACTCTAGCTGCGGAAGGTGCCCCGCCGCCCAACCATGCACGCCTCGGCTTCTCACTCGTCATCCCGCCATGTCGCAAAACACCAACGGCTTCGACGCTCATCGCGCGATGAAGCCGCGCACTACTGACAAAATTCACGCGCCATAACACCGAAGCATTACTGCTGCAAGCAATATCCGACTCACAATATGCTGGAGTTCCGAACGCAGGGCTACAGTGGCTACAGCGTCAAATACTCGCCATTTTTCGATTCACGGATAGCGGTCGCTGCATCTGCGAACTTCGGGCTCGTAGGGAATGGAAGACTGTACATCCTCGGCCTTACCGCCAATGGTATCGTCGCAGAAAAGTGGTAAGCTTTATTCCTATATATATATAACGCACTTCACTTTCACATGCTTACAACACTCCCAGGTTCGACACGCAAGACTCCCTCTTCGACAGCACCTGGTCCGAATCGCACGAGAACCAGATCCTCACCGCCGGCGGCGACGGCTCCGTCAAACTCTTCGACATCACGCTGTCCCAATTCCCCGTGCAATCCTGGACCGAGCACGCGCGCGAAGTCTTCAGCGTGTCCTGGAACCTCGTTGCCAAAGACACATTCCTGTCCAGCAGCTGGGACGGCACGATTAAGATCTGGAACCCGAACGCGAGTGCGAGTATCACTACGCTGCCGACGCATTCGTGCACGTATTCGGCGGCGTTTAGTCCGCATAGCCCGAGTGTGCTGAGCAGTGTGAGCTCGGATAGTCACTTGAGGGTGTTTGATTTGAGGACGCCGGCGAGCGCAAGTAATCATCTTACCATGAGTGTGCCGATACATACGCCGCCGAAGGCGAGGATGGGGGTTGCAGCGCCCGTGGGCATAGCGCCGTCGGAAGCGCTGACGCATGATTGGAATAAATACCGCGACTCGATTGTTGCGACGGCAGGGGTGGATCGTGTCATACGGACGTTTGATATTCGGATGCCGAATCATGGACCAATCGCGGTATTGCCAGGGCATGAATACGCGGTGAGGAAGTTGACGTGGTCGCCGCATTTGTCGGATATCTTGCTAAGTGCAAGTTATGACATGACGTGTCGGGTGTGGACGGATGGTAGTGCCATGGGTGTGGGGTCGTTGAAGCAAGAGAACATGCTGGAGGATCCCATGTTCTATGGAGGTGGAAGAGAAATGGGAAGAATGGGACGACACACAGAGTTTGTGACTGGCGTGGACTGGTGCCTGTTTGGAGCTGAGGGGTGGTGCGCGAGTACAGGATGGGACGAGAAGGTTATGGTGTGGGACTGCAGAGCTATTATGCAATAACAGCGGACCGCATCTAAGCTCTGAAAATCAACCGACAGCTCATATAAGAAAATCGTAATATTGGGTATCGACTAGACTACACCTGACGCCAGACGCTAACATAAAAGACGCTCCTCTTGAACGAATTACTACATCCACTGATCCATGCTTGCAAATGGCGGATACTTCAACCCGCTTGTCTTGGCCTTCTTCCTCACCCATCTGCCACCCCCTTTGCTACTTCCGACAGTGCTGCTGATGCAATCCCAGTCGAAAGGTACCTGGTTGCCGAGGACTTCGTATCCAGCCACTCTTCGTAGACGACCTCTTTGCCGATCCGTGTGCGAGGTCCGTAATGCTACGCGCGTTGTCTCCCGCACCTCTCCTGGCTCAACAATCTGTGTGCGGTAGATTGGTTCACGTGGTCGATGGGGCGAGGGCGATCGCGGGCGTGGTTGTGGCCGACATGTTGACGAGTCACGTGTCGGAGGAGGGCCGGGTGGTGGTGTGCATCGCCTCTTGCCATGGCCATGCAGGCTGAAAGGTGTGTCATGGTGGTGGTGATGTCCATGGATAGGATGCAGGTGCAGAGGGTGTAAATGCGGGTGTAGATGATGTCGGTGGTGGTGATCGAGGTGTAGATGGGGGTGGTGGTGATGGTGTTCTGACATGTCCATGGAGACGCTGCTCGGCAACTTCACCTTGACGTCAGTGAAGCGAGGTCGATTCGGACTGCTATGAACGCGAACGAGCTGTTCGGCACACGAAGAGTCTGAAGATCGATGCTCGGGGTGCTTCTTGCTTTTTGCTGGAGTGAGCGTGAACCAGCACATTTCGACCAGTGCTTGGTCGCGAAATGTCAACCCCTGAGTCGAATCTTGTCGGGAGAGGTCGTAATCGTGTTGGTGGAGCTAGACGGTGATAGCCAGACAGAGAAAAGCTAGGTGCGTAACTTGAAGGTGGTCGTGGTGGGTAGGCATATGGATATGGACTGCGAGAGCGTGATTCGTAACGGGGCATCGAGAGGTGCTGGGAAGAATGAGAGGGACGAGACTCTTAAACAACGACTATCACGGCCTTGACAGATGACGCAAACCTACTCCTACCTTTCATTCTGATGGCGCACTTCGCCGTATATACATGGTCCTCCCGCATCACTTGCGCTCATCACGTACCTCTCTGGGCACTGCACGCGGGTCGCCCCTGGAGTCGGCAGACTAAAGAACATAAGACAGGTGGGATGGATTTGGTGCCTGCATGATAGTTGACAGTGCCTGCATAGCCGTCGATGCAAACATGTGTTCTGGTTGCTGGGCGGGTGACGGGGGCTGGTGAGGGGGCGACATGGGCGCGTGGATTGGTGCAATGTCTTGGATGACCTCGAGCTCCGACGAAGCCATGTGATCATGTCTGCCTCGACGCCTGTTTGTAATAAAGCACCGTGGGGATGCTTGTTCCAACGATGTCTACTCAGCGGCACTCCCTTGCTTTTGGCTATATGCAGCGCCACATATTCGCCATATTTGCCGCGTGCAGATGTGAGATGCAGGTGAGCAGACTGGACACGTGACAGAAATGAGAGAACCTTGGAATACACATGTAACCTTGAAACATGTTCGTGACAGTTTCCAGACATGTACGACCTGGAATAGAGTATAAGAAAAATGTGGACGATAAGAATATGGCTGATATGGCGTGGCCCTGTAGAGGATGAGAGACAATTGCGCTGATCGGACAGAATGAGTCGTGGATGCTACGTGAGGAAGTCGACAAGAGATCTTCTTGCCCCTTAATGCTCTTGGGCATATGTTCAAATACGGTGCGTCGTTAGAGTAAGGAGGCAGATACATGGCGTTGTGCATGGTCGAGGTGCAGGTGTGGTGAGGGACGCTTCCAGTTTGAGGCAGCAGCTTGACGCGGAGGTTGTCTTGGCATTGCCGTCAACAGCTCGCCGGAGCTCAGGGCAACTTCAACCTCACGCCCATACAACAACCCCGCCACAATTCCATCACCCGCCCTCGGTTCCTCCCAATACCCACACCACACACAAAGCGCAAGCATGGATTCATTAGTGGCGCAGTACAGCCGACCGGTGGACGCGGAGGAGGGCCCATCGGAGCAGGACCAGCTGGAGCTATACAGCGGCACCCCAGAACTGTCTCTCAAGTTTGCCCTGCCACCAGTAGCTCAGGTATGCCTTCACATGCTCTGCTGTACGTTGCTGCAGTACTAACACGCACCAGTCAGCATCATGGCTGCGCGCAATGACGGACGACTACTCCAACCCCAACTGCCCCATCAAGATTGCCCACGGCACCACAACCCTTGCCTTCCGCTTCAAGGGCGGCATCATCGTAGCCACCGACTCGCGAGCCACTGCCGGAAACTGGATAGCAAGTCAGACGGTCAAGAAGGTCATTGAGATCAACAACTGCTTGCTGGGAACCATGGCTGGTGGCGCTGCTGTACGTACGCCGCGAAAGCGTGATACGGCTAGGAACTGATCTGAGCAGGACTGTCAATACTGGCTTGCGTACCTCGGCATGCAATGTCGTCTCCACGAGCTCCGACACAAGCGCCGCATCTCCGTTGCTGCGGCGTCCAAGATCCTCGCGAACTTGGTATACTCGTACAAGGGCATGGGCTTGAGCATGGTAGGGCAGACATGACCCACCTTACCCTTCCGCAACTAACACATCTCAAAGGGAACTATGTGCGCCGGCGTAACGCCCCAAGAAGGCCCCGCTCTCTACTACATCGACAGCGACGGCACCCGTCTCTCCGGCAACCTCTTCTGTGTCGGTTCAGGTCAGACTTTCGCCTACGGTGTGCTCGACGCAGAGTACAAGTACGATCTTGAGGACGACGATGCTCTCGAGCTCGGCCGAAGGAGTATTCTTGCCGCCACCCATCGTGACGCGTACTCTGGAGGTTTCATCAACCTGTACCACGTCAAGGAGGACGGATGGGTCAAGCACGGGTTTAGCGACACAAACCCCATCTTCTGGGAGACTAAGCTCAAGAAGGGCGAGTTCTCCAACGTCACGAGCCAGTTGGATTAGATGGCTTGAGAGATTTGTGGTGGGCGAGTTATGACTATAGAGGCATGACGAGATTGCACCCACCAAAGTGGACTGCTCTCGACAAATAGCACCAGACTCAATGAAGACATCATGACATACGATCAACTCTTGTTCAGACTCATCTTTCATTCTTTCAATCAACACACGCGTCGCATCTAACCTAACCCAACCACTTCCCTGCATAACAGCAGATCCCAGACAAAAATCATGTGGCGCAGTCCATGCTGGCGTGTTCAGTACTCCAGTCCCAAGATTCAAGAAAAACATGAAGAAAAAAAAAGGGTGCAAGTGATACACTATCCCAGTGCAATGGGTATAAGCAAAATACAGACGGGAATCAACTCCGTTACACGCCCCATGTTGTGAAAAGGAACGCCGTTGGTAATGTTGTGAAGTAAAAGAGAAGAAAAAAAGACTAAATGGAACGTGACAGCAGATGAGTTCTAGCGACTCCGTCTCCGCAACCCGAGATCTTCCTGCTGCAGCTGCTTGATGAGATCGATACTCGCTTGATCGAGACTGGGGTCAATCATGTCCACGTCCATCATCATGCCCACGCCGATTCCAGCTTCAAGCTTGATGCCCTCCGCGTGGCGATTACACGGCGTCGATTTCGGAGTTTTGCTGGCGCGCGGTGTCTTGTTGGTTGGAGCGTGTGTCTTGGCAGCGGGTGTGGTGGGTGGAGGTGGAAAGTCCGAGTCGGTGGTGAAGTTGTAGTCGTGGTTATTGTGGTTGTGGTTCATTGAGGGTGACGTCATGTACGCGTTGTGGTTGTACATGCCTGGTGAGATTGCGGACATTTGGCGAGGAGATACTGGAGACGAAGGGCGTCGTACGGCGTTGTTGTGGGAGGGTCGGTGTGCGAAACCGTTGGTCTTGACGTGTAAAGGATCAGGCGCCGTGTAGCCGTTGCTTTGCGCATGAGCAGTGTCGTTGTGAGGTGGAGGGCCCAGTGTAAGTGGCTCGATGCTGGGACCGTGCAACCCGCCATTCTGTGTTGCATATTCGCTGCCGCTCATCTGCATGTCGCCCTCTGCCTGCTGCTCAATGGAAGACATGATACCATTCCCATTGCTTGCGTAGGATGGCGCCATTTCCATCGCAGAGTATGCGCCGTTGGCGTAGGCCTGCAGTGCTGGGTCGACAGGAACCAAGTCATCTTCGTCCCGAGCCAGCGCCTGCTGAGCCGAGAAAGCAATATCCTGAAGGAGCGACGAGCCAACACTAAATTGGTTCGGAAGAGAGTGACGCGCGTGCATGTCTCCGTTCATGTAGTCGTCTTCAAAGCTAGACCCGTGCTTCTTCCTCTTTGTGCTTGAGTTGGAATTCTCATCACTGACGCGTCGCCGCTTTGATGCGGACCCTCGAGGAATAGGTACTTCGTTGGCCTTGATAATGTCGACATTGCCGTACTCATCGTGTATGCACCGGCGCTGCACATGTTAGCTTGGATCAACGTCCTACATGTTCGCTTGCTCTTACCTTGCTTTTGCGACAGTCGGCACAAGCCTTCACCCTGCCAGACTTGAGAGCATATGGATCACCGTTCACGTCCGCCATAATCGGCCCACCATTCACAGGGCCACTAGTCACGCTTGTTTGTCCGTCCGCAATCGAGTGGTCGCTCAAGCGGCGTTTGACCGAAATACCATAAGAGCCAGAGAGGTCAATGGTATGCATACCCGGTTTCGACGTGTCGATGAGTTCGTCTTTGTGTTTGCACCTGATGCGCCTTTTCCTACACGCATCGCATGCGACTCGCTTGGGGCCGAGTTGAGACGTCTTTGGAGTGGTGATGTGTGGATTGTTTGCGGAAGGGCGCAAGAAACCGGTGAGCGGACCCGCTGAGACTGGCGTCATGTCGAATTGAAGGACGTCTTCGACTCCGTCCGGCGGTGGCGAATCATAATTTACAGGTGAAGGTTCGCGTACTGGTTGGGGCGGCGGGGCTCGTATGCGAGCAGAGGACCTTTCCGCTGTAGCTCGGAGAGCTTCATGAAGTGAATCCCGTTCCATTTTTTTCACCTGCGCAGCACTGAGCTTCTTTTCCCCAGCCTCGGCTGTTTCCGGCAGATTAGCGTCAGGCATCGCCCATGATGGTATCGTCTCATTCCCTCGTTTCCACGCGATCCATATCGCGAATCGCTTCGCCAGGGCAAGCGGGTCACCGTGACCTTTCGGGATCGATCTGGTAACGGCGCCTCGGGTCTTTTGTGGTACGTCGATCTTGTCGAGAGAGATCAGAACTGTCCGCCATATGTAGTTGAGCAAGTCCGTAAGCCCTTCCAGCTCGTGCTTGGAGTAGTAGCGCCTATTGTAATTCGTCGAGCCAAGATCAGAGTTGTGGCCGAACTTGTCGGGCTCGCAATAGATCGGGATAGGACGTTTGAACTGCTCTCCACTTTCGAGGTACTGCCTTACAGAGTCAGGCACAGGATCTTCTTCGAGGTACTTAATCACAGTCAACCACATTATCTTCTGGAAGAATGGGTACCGGAACTGCAGGGCAACCTTGGTGTTCTTCTCGATCTCCAGGATCTTGATCTGCATGCCATAGTGGATACGGGTGAGGAAGTTGCCGCCAATGACAAGGCTGTCCTCTGGTGTCCAGACCGCATGAATCCAGCCAGAAGGAATAAGCATTGTATCTCCAGGATACAGGTCCACGCGATAACACTCTTTGACCTGCTTTCCGAGCCAATCGTGTCCCTGGTTTGGAGAAAGGCACCAGTCTTCGTACTTCTTCAGATTTTGTTTCGTTGGTGGAATGAAGAAGAAGACCTTTCTTCCCTTGACGATGTGGTAGTATACCGACGAACCGCCAAAATCGATGTGGAAGTCGGTAAAGCAGTCCGCCACAGACATCAAGCAGTAGAATTGTACTGGTGGCGGAGCGCTCTTGTCGTCCTCTCGCCAAACAGAGTCCTGCAGGTCCATGTCTCTTACAGCCTTGGGCCGGCGGATCAGCTTGCCCAGCCGACTCCGTGATACTTCCAGGCTGATGACATTGCGCACGGGTTTTTCGCCTTGTTGTTCGTAGTAATCTGCCCATTTACTCATTGTCCACTTTTTCCCTTCGCCTTCCTGTGCTTTGACGTCGATGACTGGAACTAGTTCGTTTGCGCCGTATAGTTCAGCGACGCGGCGGACAGTGAGCCCTTCTGGTATGACCATGTCCAGCTTGTCCTGCCCTACATCCGCGGTAGTTTCGTAGTCGAACTGAGCGACCGATTCCGTCGTATGTTCAGCGGTCTGCTCTGTGTCCAAGGCAGGGTCGAGTACGTTTGTGCTCGGGCCGAGTAGTACGACTATTGAGTGCACCGGGCACCAGTATCGGTTCCCTAAAGCCGTTGCTCTTGTGGAGAAAATCGGCTGTCACCATCTCTGGCGGCATCCGAGCGAAGGTCTCGGGAGTGAACTCTAAATCTCCATTCTTGAAAGCGGCGATGTAGTGATGCTCGGGGTTATCGTCGGAAGTCTTGAGGACACCTTCATTGAGACCGGCGTAGTCAACCGTCGTGTGGGCTCTGACGGACTTGCGAACCTCTGGGCCAGGTTAGAATTGTACCTACGTGTTGCGTCGGTAGACCTACTCGTTGTTTCACCAAACTTGGGTCTACACGGGTCGCAGTAGAACTTGTTGACGTCCCGCACCTCTCTTTCACTGTTGAAGCCTGCGCATGCGTAGTGGTACCATTCCTTGCACCCATCGCAGCCAATCCACTGCTCACCGTCGCCAACTTTGATCTCCGACTCGGTTGACTTGCATGCGGCGCATATGAGATCTGGCTGCTCAACAGCTGTTTTCTTGGCAGGCTGGCGTAGGTCAGCCGCTGGAGCCGACAGGACCTGCTCGCCGCCTAAAGGGACGGACTGCGCGCGAAAAGACAGTGATGGCGCGGCGTCGCTGGGGTGAAGAGAACTGGGAGTGGAGAAGGAGTGGCGCCGGTTGTGCGAGTTTGGCAGATGCGACTGTTGGTTGGTTTGGGATACTACGTTCGCCATGACAAGAGACTGATCAGCGGGGAGACTTTGAGGTGATTGCAGTTGATCCGGAACAGCAGAGGTGCTCGCGGACGGGGCGTTCTTTGGCTTTGGGGTCGACCTTTTCCTCTTACCGGTCGAGGGAGTGTTGCGCGTTCCTCTTGACCTGCCCTTGGGCCCGCCCTGTTGCTTCTTAGGTTTCGGTTCCTCCGCGGGCGCAACCTCGGGCATCGAGGGTTGCGCTACTGGATTCACAACAGCTTCTGCGGGAGGCGTCCGCGTCTGCGAAGTGGATGTGGCGTTGGGAGTATCGGAGGGAAAGGGAGGCAGCTCTGTTGGCGGCTTAACGTCTAAAGGGCCGTGTTGATGCAGGGTTTGATCGCTGATGGTGTGTGTGACGGCAGCGCGAGGGCTTAGAGAAGCGTGCATTTGCGGTGCTTGCTGGAGAGGCAGCTCGGGCGGCGATGGCTGCGAAACGCTCCAGCGCTTTGCTGTTGATGGCGGCGTTTGTGCAGTGTGCGCGGAGACATTGGAGAAGAACAGCAGCAACTCGGCGTCAGACAGCATCTTGTCACCCCCGCCATTCATCTGTGGTGGTGCATTCGCTCGGCTGTCCTGGTACATGCGCATGCCGCTGTCCACCATGTGCTCTACGTTGTAGCCCGGAATGTGGCTGGTGGCTGGCCGCGATTGCGGCTGGCCATATGGTGGAGACGTGTGGTATTCGGAGCGCGCTCGCTTTGCCGGCCGCTCGTGGTTCGAGTGTGTGTGCCCTGTTGCAAAGGCGTGTTTTGGCGCGCGTTCGCTGGTGGGTTGCAGGCCGGTCGAGGGCGCACTGCCAGCATGGAAAGCGCGGCGCGGGGGCTCAACATAAGCTGCGGAGGGGCGCTGCGACGATACAGCGGCGTCCGCGAGGACCCCAATGGGCGATCCCAGTGGCAGGGAGTGCGGCGGGAGTGGTTGCGCGGGGCGCACTGCAGAGGGATCCGACGGGCGCAGGACGGGCGACAGCGGCTCCCATGCGGGCGGCGGAGGAGTTACAGCGCGCACCGGGGCTTGCCGGTACTGCGCCTTGAAGGATGTGACCCTCTTCATCGTGTTGGAGCGCGGATGGGGGGTCTCTTGCAGGTGCGGAGGTGCGCTCGGTTTGGCGTCTCAGACTGGCTGTGGCTACGGAGCAACAGCGCTATGCGGGTGTGCGAATGAGACGGGTGCGGGCATATCCTGGGGCGAGGCGGCGAGCGCGCTGAAGGCGATGAACGAGTGTCGGGGGGTGGCAGGCGCGGTGGGCGGAGAAGCGTGGTCGTCGCCGTAGTGGGACTGAAATGCGAAGGTCGCCAGCGCCGAGGATGCTCTGCGACAGACTCGACGGGGGCGCGCGGGCAGCGAGGGGAGTCAGCTGGTGTGCAGTATGGCGCTGGAGCGCACTACGGATGGTGAGAAATGCTGCTGCAGAGAGGGAGGAGGCATTGGCCAGGACCATCAATGCAGGACGTTGGAGTTGTGTCCGGGGACCACTATCTAGTACCGCAGCAGGTCGGCTTGTGCTCGCAGCTCGCGAACTCCTAGGCAAGTTGACTGCGATGCACACGCCGCGGATGGCTGCGCCAGAAGTGCTTGCAGGCTCCCTGGATTATCTCCCTCGTCCCAGTCCATGTCCAGCCCGTCTCACGCTTTCCCGGCCTCCAATCCCCCATATGAAGCCTGTCGCTGCCGCTGTTGCTGCTTCCGCAAATCTCCCCACGTGATTGTGCACGGGCCACGCGCCTTCCTGGTTCGTGCCTCGAGCCCCGACTGCATCACCAACTTCCATACTCCCACGTAGCCCACACATCTTCTTCTGATCGCGCAACCAGACGCCCTTCCCTGTCGCCCATATCAGTCGCCAAAGTATGAGTCGCGGTGGGAAGAATATAGCACCTGAAGTCAACCGGTATGTTCGCGCCTCGCCGCATTGCGTGTACTTCTGCAAGGCTGCCCGCGGCCAACACACGACCTCCGCTAACATGTCATTTTCGCACAGAGCTCTCTTCGTCAAGAACTTGAGGTTAGTTTTCGTCCGCCGCGCTGGCCCGAGTTGCACTAATCGCCTTGTAGCTTCAACGTCACGCCAGAGGAGCTCTTCGATCTCTTTGGCAAATTCGGCCCGGTCCGGTGCGTCCACTCCATCACACTCGCCGTGCGAGTCTTTTCTCTCGAGGTATGGAGCTAACTTTCGCAGCCAAATCCGACAGGGCATCGCCAATCGAACACCAAAGGCACAGCATTCGTTGTCTATGAAGACGTAATGGATGCCAAGTCGGCTTGCGACAAGCTAAACGGCTTCAACTTCCAGAATCGCTACCTCGTCGGTATGCTATCCGTAGTCCCTAGCTTCGCATGCGCGCCGCTAATCCATCTAGTATTATATCACCAGCCAGATAAGATGCTAAAGCAACAGAGCGATCTCGCCGAGCGCCAAGAGAACTTAGAAAAGCTGAAGAAGCAACACGGTATCGATTAGCATGAGGAGGGGACACAGGAACCGGTGAACACGCGCGAGCGGAACGATAATAAGAATCCTGTGGGCCCCAAGACCGATAGTGTAACATCTACACGCTCTTCGAGCCGCGGCGACGGGCGCTCTTCGATCACGAGCAAGGGCTCTAATTCGACTGCGAACTCGAGCCTACCTTCTACGGATCCTGCGACCACGACCTGCCGCAACAGCGATTGGCGCAGTGTCAAGCGCTCCGTGAAGGGACTATGGAAATCAGTGGTTGGCGTTTGATGGGTTACTACGAATTTTCACGAACGGCAGATTGCTGCACATCGTTGCTTCGACACTGGACAGACGAAGACATGGGTCGGCTGAGCTCTGCACTTATTGCGCAGCTCGCTTCCAGTTAGATACCAGCAGGCCGGAGTGCTACTAAGAGCGCTCGGCCAATCAATTCAGGATTTCCCTTTGACGAAGTGCAGTACTAACTCGAGCTCTCAGATGACATGGCTCAGGGCTCTGTGCGTCCGGGATTTGTTCACCACCGGTCACATGATACCAACGTGTTTTGGGTTTTGTATCAACGTGTTCCGCTGTTCTCGACGCGATTGTTACGTCACTTGTCTGTTGCCATCGGTGTTCTTGACAACATGCATCGAAACTCAGGTCGGAGAATGGCCCAACCGTACTGACTACAGGACTTGAGCAAGACCTCTCGGGATTGAGGACTAGCAGAGGGTCTCCGCACCTCGGCCGCCAGATCCGACGGCCATTAGTCGAGCTAGTGAGTTAGAACATGGTCTTCGATTTCACTCCTTATAAGTCAAAGACGGCGTTGCTAGGTACGTACACATCGACGACGGCGTCTTTATATAGGCAGGAATGTTGGGAGAGAAAGATCGTGCTCGACCAATCAGCAGCTCTCGTGGAATACGATACGCGGTTAGCCTGATCCTTAGCGCCATTTTGTACCGCGACGGACGACCACTAGGAGCGCCTTACGGCTGTCTTCGGTACTACATAAACCTCCAAACATCGCATGTCGTCCCACAAATATAAGTACGAAACATCGTTAGACTAATGCAATCTTCGCTCAATTCAGCTTCATATCCTGCGCCCTTGCAATTACCATTCACCACGCCCGAGCTTACCCACCACTCATCATGCCAGCCGTCATGTCGATGCCTCCACAGATAGATAGGAAGCGACGTGTCCATGCAAAGTCACGCAAAGGATGCGGGAATTGTAAGCTGAGGCGCGTGAAGGTGAGTGTCTTGGCCACAATATGGTCTAGGGTCAACTAATCGTAATCAGTGCGACGAACTTCGTCCTCATTGTAAAAAGTGTTTGCTGTATGGCGTCTAGTGCAACTATGATGGGGGAGAAGCAAATTTACAGCTATCTGCAGAAGGGTCATTCCAAGTTGATTTCGGACCATCTGCTCCTACAGGGCAGGTTATCGACTTCCAGTCCTCCTCCTACAAGACTCTACATGATGCCCATATGAGTGGAGGGGCCTTGATCAGTGGCAATAAAGCCGATACTCGCGATTGGCCAAACAGCACACTTCCAGGAACATTATTTTGCCAAGCATCTTTTTCGACCCCCTTTCCGCCAATTTCTGTTAATGCTACCATGACGAGCATGATTGATGAAGCCATGCAGTTCAGTTTCGCGGAAGCTGATATGCAAACATAGTATGGGTCTGTATATGGCCCATCGGTCCCTTCTTGGCACTTCTCCAATGCACACCTCGATATCCTTGCAAGGTTTAGGGAAAGGACAGGGTGGACTATTGGTGACAAGGCTGCTGACTCGGCATGCCGGCACATGCTCTGCCACCTCGCCATGACGGTTCGTCTGTTTTGACTCTGAATCTTCTATCGCACTACTGACATCACTGTAGAATGCGTTTTTGATGCACATGCTTATTAGCTTAGCACTGATGCACGATGCTGACACTATGGGCTCGAGCAATCCCTCGGCCGCAAAAAGAAAAAAGAAAACGTCCCTAGAACACTGGAGCATTGCGACTAAGTTGTTAAGGAGCACCTTGTCTAAACCTATCAAGCCCCACCAATAAGACGCTATATGGGCAACTGGACACGTCGTGGGGGCGGCCTCAATGTGGTTTGTAAACTCTGAAAAAGTCGAAGAAGTCTGGCCGCTCAAGCCGCGTGACTCAGTCGATCTCGGATGGCTGAAGCTCTGCGACGGCAAACGAGTGCTCTGGGAGATTGCGGACCCAAAGCGCCCGGACAGCATATTTCATAACGTGTTGAAAGAACAGAATGCTTACACCGTTATTCTACCTGAATGGGTCCGGGACCCTGAAGCTATGGCGAGGATACCACCTCGGCTCAAACGGATATTTGGTGTCACATCCACTTCGACCATTGACAATAATGTCTACCTGTTGACTCTCACGCTTCTCTCGCGGCTTCAGAATCAACGGCTCACGATTGCGACATCACAGAGCTTCCTCCAGGCCATTGCATTCGTTACACCTGAGCTGGTCCGCTTGCTTGAATCCAAGGACCCTCGGGCCGTGTTCATCATCGGCTGGTGGTTCAAAATGATGGCCGATGGCGATCTGTGGTGGGTGGTCCCGAGGGCAAAGATTGAAGGTCGTACGATTCGAATCTGGCTCGAGAAGGAAGATGGTGTGTTCGGCCTTGCGCAGGTGCTGGATGACTTGGTCCCTGAGCGGTCAATGCCGCAGGAGCAACCGTGAATTTCGAGAATCGATTGCTATCGACTACACCGAATCCACCGCTGGGAAGCAATCGCGCATGGCCGCCACGGGGTTCTCTTCCAGAATTGCACTTGACTCCTACAAGACTAAGTTGGTCCAAAGGTCGAGCGTCACGGGAACGAGACCACATCATAGCGCCATGTAAATCGTCCGCTTCGCCAAAGATTACCAGAGGGAAGAGTGGACTACTGAAGTATTCGCCAAGCTACCGTGTCAACATGTTCACGACCCCAACCATGAAAGACACCCAAGCAACCACATCCACACTACACATCCGAACCTTGTGAAATCCAATCCACTCCTGCAAATCCTGCACCGCAATCAAAGGCAACTTGCCTTTCCTACCGCCCTTCCGCCCTTTCTCACGCCCCGCACACATTACGAACAACCGCGTAACGCTCTCCCCAACGAGCGGCACGAACGCATAATGCGCAGCCGCAGCCACGAACCCGGTCAAATAATACCTGCGACTCAGCCCCAATCCCTCTTGAAACACCCACAGATTCACGCCCGCAGAGGCCAAAGTAATGCTGTTCAGGCCAACCACGCTCCACACTCCGCGATTGAAGAAGTTTACGAACCATGCTGGAATGACAATTTCTTTGGCTGCGGCTAGCTCAGCGGCGTTTTGAGGTGACGATGTGGGTTCTTCGCCACGGAGCATGCTTTTGCTGAGCGATGAGGTTGTTGGCGCAGGAGAGAGAAAGGACGATGTTGTGACAAACTCCATGTATGCGTGGGTCAGGGAGGCTGTTGTGCTGAGGAGTGGCATGAGGCGGAGAAGAGTAAGTAGGGGCGGCGTGAGCGTCATGTTGATGCCGAGCTTCGTGGCTGATGGCATCATGGGATTGAATTATAGATTGTAGTACTGAGGAAGGTTGCAGTGGTGAGGTCCGATGAGACGTATGTCCTTTTGTTGCACTACAGGTTACATGGATATTGGTGCGGTGGTGTGACGTCGCGGCTGGCGTCGGAGCACGCTTGGGCGCCTGAAGTTATTTGGTGAACTTATCAAGCAGAGGTCACGAGATCATGTTCACATGGCTGATAGTACAGTGTTTACATTTCTTAGTCAAATGATTGCTCTGTCGAATGTCAGCTGGGTTAAAACACAAAAGTTCTACTCGTGCAAGAGCTTGACAGTACGAGACTCGAAGTCACCAGGCGATGTTATGATGACGTCCGTTACCTACACAACGTTAGGCTACATATCACATGGTCTTGAAATCTTCAAGCCGTGGTGACTTCTTCTGCAGGTAACTTGAGACTTCCGCGAAGGTTTACAAGCCATAAGATCGTTAATGGAGTTTCGGTAGGCGCGTAAACATCGCAAGGGTTACTAGTCTGGAACTGAACTTTAAGACGGCAAGACGCTGCTAATATCTTTTCTACCTTACTACATTACTACAACAATTCGATGTGCAGAACACTCGGTCAAGCTCCTGCTAAAGGTCACATGTCAATCAACAGTACTCTCCTTGTTCATAGAAGCTACATTGGCGGCCTCAAGAGCAGTGACTCTCATAGAGCGCTATTTTTGAAGCCCTTCATGATGGCGTACCAAGTCAGTACATGTCGTCCGCGCTATATAGGAGATGAACATTACATACCCTGAGATGAATCGATAGCCGTATTCATGGTTTCACCGCACGATTCGGCGTTCTTCTGGAGGCTGGATGCCCTGGAAGGCACATTATAGGTGAGGAGAAAGCGGAGGGACTATGTTATTTCTCAGTTCGTTGAATTTGATGTCATTCCTGTGCGCAGACGATCACTTATGTCAATGGCGTCCTCGACTTTGCGCAGCACAGCGGCAACGGGCTGGACGATGAAAGGGACAATGTTGAAAAGATTGGCCCGTGGGCACTGAACCAGCATCGTTCTAATAGCGTCAAGAAGATTTGTGCATGAGAGCTTGCGCATCGACAACCTACCTTTGCGATCAATATGTTGAGCGCGACTTGATGGACACGAACGAACTCCGTGTACGCCTTGTTGATAGATTCGCTGTCCGCGCCATCTGTAATGGGCTGCCTGTCTTGGATTTGAGCAACGTAGGTTGAGCAAGTCGTGACGATATCGGTCCATCCCTCTGCTATAATATATCTCATCACTACATGTCTCACTTCGAGCTTTACAATGATACTTAAATCTGAGAGAACGGGGCCCTGGCCTATGTATGCAATCAGCTCTGGGTCTTACATATGCCACTGGTTGGGGCTACGTTTGACATAGCAGCTAAAAATAAATTGGCACGTTGGCTACACTGATAGACTGTGCTTGTGTCAAGCGCCGTATGGTGAATCGGCAGAGATTCAATGGCGAAAAGACTAACAATGGGACGCATGAGAGTATTCCTCAAGGCTAACGTGCTCACGGAATCTAGAGCATTTGCTGTTGTCCTTCCTTCCCTTTCCTTTCTGTCCTCTGCTTTGGCTTGGACGACGAGACTGGCTCAGTCTCTTCACCCACGCCAGGACGAGAGATGGGTCGAATAAGATCTCGCCGATATGTGGTATTGTCAGAAGCTGAGTTAATACTCCAAGTCGTCGACCGCGATATCTAACAGCCCAAGGGTATACATAATATTAGAAAAATTCAATTGCGACGGCAAAGCTCCGTGTGTAGGTTGGGGCTGCAACTTGGATGGAAGAAGCGAGTATGTCAATTGTCATACCGAACAAAGCCCATGGGCTACAGTCTTAGTGTTGAAGAACTTTTGCGTGACTGACTACTCTGCTTTGACAATGATCACATGAGATTGCATACATCACGGAATACTTAAGGAACATGCATGGACAAAAAATTGTATTCGAGTTAATATCCTCCACAAACATAGCACTAAACGCCATCTAACTAACGCCCAGTGCCATATCGACAATTGTTGAGCCAACAACCGTCTACGTCTCACCAGTTTGCACCACCGCTGCGCACAACGGCGCCCATCCAACCACGCACCACCGCTGCGAACAGCGGCGGTCAACACAAACACGTACTATCTCACCCGGCGGGGGTAGCTCTCGCGGAGCTCAGCAGCCTGCTCCGCTTCCCAGACGTGGCAGTTCATAAGTCCTCGCCGAGACTGTCAGGTACAGTCCCGGTCGGAGGTCGCCAGGAGATGAATTTCTCCAGCAGCTTACCCAGAAGATATGCCGGCTTGTCGTCTAACTCGACCGCCTCGACCTGATTAGCAGACGACGTGACTGTCGCCTAGACCCCACCAGCCTTTGGCTCGGATGACGAGACCAAGCCAGTCCCCCCATCCTCACCAAGACCAGAGATGCACGTCGCATCCCTGAACAGAGCATCCTGCTCCGCGTAGGTCACTAAACGAAGGGGGCATACCTTTCCATCTTCGTCTCGACCGTACTTCAGCGAGAACTCGCCGCACAAGTCCCTCCAGTTGCCGTAGTTCAGGGAAATTTTTGCCATCTTCTCCTCAGGCCAAGTGTCCCAGACGCCGTTGGCTACGAAATTGTCCACCCGGACAATGTTGTTGCACCATTGCCGGTACTTGCCGAACTCCTGCGCCGTCACAATATGGAGCACTGGGCCTATGCAATGTCAGTCAGAGCCGCGTGTATTAGAATTCACACTTACGCGGCGTCACCGTGAGCTGCTGCGCCCACCGCACCAAATCATTAATAGCACTTCTACGTGGTTCGGGGTCTGCCATTGTGCAGAAAGTTGGTGTGGAGTGTGGTGTTGAGGTGAGCAATCAACGCGCGCAATAACAACTACAAATTTTAAGGCGAGGACCGTGCTCAAGCTCTCCTTCGCGTCACTGATGACTCAGCGCTCGCGGAGCGAATAAGAGCGGGCGATAGGTAAGCCTGGATAGCTTCACTACTGTGAGCGTGTACCATGTGCTCGGAAGGCATCCGTGGACCTAGACAGGATCCTGTAAGCAGTGAGATAGAACAAGCGACTGATAGGTACGCCTGTACATCTTTGTAACTGAAACGCTTCCAAGATACTCGCAAACATAGACGTGAATATAGACAGACTGCTGTAAGAATATGGAGAGATATATATGTATACCCGTATAGCTTCGTGACCAGATTGCGTGCAATTAGCTCGCTGATACGGACGTGAATCCATAGAGGCTTCGATAGGGCAAGGGGGATAGTGAAGGTAAGATAAGTACTCTTGTATAGCTTCACCGCGGTACAATAGTACACCATACACACTTATACGTGCGCGACTCTGGACAAGCTCGTTGAAGTGGAGAAGAGGATTGAGAAAGCAATAGGAATGCCTGTATAGCTTCGCGACGATACCGTAAACAGAGCACTGAACGGGGAAGCCGCGAAATGTGACAGGCTTGTGTGTCTTGTCGATATAGACTAAGCCGGAAAAAAGACACTTAGAAATGCATAGTGACAGTCGAAACGCAAGAGAGGAACAAGCATGACATATTCGCTGATACAGAAGTGAAGCTGGACACATCTGAGAAACATGAACGAAGAAAATGCATACTGACAACAAACTACTCTCTACGCTCTCCACCAACGCCCTGAAATGCACACTTTTCGCACCCCAAACAGACGCCCCGCAATGCTTACTATCGCATAAATGAACTACCATCCTCGTCGCATGCCCCGACTCTCAATGCCCTTCTCCTTCCTCTTGACTCTCTTGACGTCATGTCGTCTCCTCTTCTCCTTCTCCGCCCTCTCAGGATCAACAATGGCCTCGACCTTCCTCTTTCTGCGCCTCTCCTCTCTCCTCTCACGGATCAGCTTCTGGACCTCGCTCATGACCTTCAAGTATTCTTGCGTGCCCATGCGCTTCTGCAGCATGTTCATAATCTCTCGCGCCTTATCGATGAGCGACTTGTACTGTTCGTTGGGTTCGTTGAGAGTCATCGGGTTTGTGTGAGCGCGGGGAATGGTGGTCGCGGGGTCGACGAGCGTGTTGAGTGTTGTGAGAACGTGGGGGAGGGAGGAAGCAAGAGGTTCAAGTGGGAACTTGGCAAAGACGGTCTCGAGGAGATGAATGGTGGAGGTTTTGGCGAGCATAGAGCGGTTGTCGCGGCGGACGAGGCCGGAAAGTCGAATCATGAGGCGGTGGATGGCTGCTGGAGGAGCATTGTTCATCTTCTTCGGCGTGCTCTCGGGCTGGGGAGAGAAGCCGCCAAAGTCGTCATCTGACGGCGCGGTGTCGCCATTGGTAGTGTTTGCCTCTCCGATGACAGCATCTTCCTCATCTTCCTCACCGTCAGCCTTCTGCCAGTGCCACTTGGCTCCATTCACAGCAAAGCATCTTGCAAGGAATGCAATATTCTTAACACTCTGTGTACAGAGCTGATCTGTGACCTCCTGGTTTAGCAAGTTCTTCAAGAAAGCATTCGTTAACTGTATCATGCTCTGTTCCGCCAGTTGCAGTCCACCAGAACCCTCTAATGGCAGCGCTTCGAGACCGGTATCTTTGTTCGCTGTTCCAAGATGGGCAAAGTATGTGCCCATCAGTTCAGCGGCTTTGAGCTTGACCCACGCGTGGGGATACGAAGTGCTCGCCTGTATCGCGATCCACAGGCTATCCTTGCTCGAAGTGAACATTGTATCCGGATACTTCTTGACCGCCTTTGACAATAGCGTGAGCGAGTAGTACAACAGCTCCCAGTCATCTTCGTCTCGTCGGGCCAAGCATTCGTCGATTATCGTGTCGAGGTGTCCCAGAATGTTGGACAGCATCTTTGGCTCCTCATCATCCTCGGCCATGGCTTCGAAATAAAACCCCCAGCACTGGATGCCCAGTCGCCTGAGTCCTGCATTCTGATCTTGCTCCAACCATGATTTTAGGTCGTCAGTAAAGCTCTGTAGCCGCTTATCGCTGGAGTGCTGGAACAGTCTCTTGACCAACAGACTTGCCAGCTCTCGACACTTGCTTGAGTCATCGTTCGCCACCGTATTGATCAAAGGGAGAAACATCATGCCGTGGTAATCGTATTGCGTCTTCTCGGGAAACCTCGGAAGAGCCTTAGTGATGATCAGATCAAGGGCGTCCATAACTGATTGCCGGCCTTCGACATGTTCATAGCGCAAGTTCTTAAGAAGGAACTCCATTTGCTTCTTGAACCGCTTCTCGCTCTGTGTGTATGACGTCAGGAACTGGAAGTAATGGCTTCGAGCAACATCTCGGGCGGACTTGGTCTGGTTCGTGATCATCATCTCGGCCACCTTGTCCATGGCTTCATAGATCTCGGGGATGTCAAAGTGGCGGTTCATGACAGCCTTGAGGTATCCAAACGAGACACCTTGTCTGTCTGGCTCGTCCAAGTCGGGTACCAGGCGCTTGATGAGATGGCCAATGTCCCGATCCTTGATATCCACGTTGGGTCTTTCACGAAGCACGGCTGACACAAGCTTCAAAGATGCCTGAGCTAGCTCGGTGTTAGATGAGGGTGCTCCTTTAATAGCGCGTATTGCTTCATCAATGTAGACCGGGCAATTGGTGTCTAGCTCCGGCATGGGAATCTTGATAAAGGTGGTCAGAAGGCGCACCGCTGATACTTGCACTTCTTCCTGTCCTTGAACCATAGCGTCGCCTATGACTGGTAAGAAGCCAGCTAGATTTTGTGGAGTTTGAAGTTCTGTGTGCTTTCGTAGAACGGTCCGGAGAATGTCGAGGCTAAACCGCGTGAGCTTGTATACGTATGACGAGGTCGAGAGCCGAGCGCCGGACTTTGCTGCACCCCTCATGTTGATCAGATAGCGCTTGTTCTTTGGATCAATCTTGCTCTTCTTATCGGTTGCGGCACTGGCTTTGTAGACCTCTTGAATGAGCTCATAGCAAAAGACCAGTATATCCCTGTTGTTGACTGTCGGGTTCTGTAGTACACCCATGCCGATTCGTCGTAGCAACTCATCGATCTTTTGCACCATTCTCGCGTTGAGCTTTTCTAACAAGAGCGACCTGATCGGGATGACGAGTTTGATGAGATGCGCGGGAGTGGCAGACCGAGAAACAATGTCCATAGAGTCGAAGCTCTTACTGCTCTTCACCTCCTTCATTTGACTGATATACTCCTCGGCATCTTTCTCTTGACCAGTGATGCCGAAGGTGTCGTCCATGATGACATCTACAATATCTCCGAGGCAGTAGTCAAGATCGCCGGGTTTAAGCTGGTCGGAGAGCTTTACAAGGATATGATGCATCGAGAAAGAAAGCACGTGAAGCTGGTAACCTCGTTGCAGAGCCGTTCGAAGGGCCTTGAGGATGAAACCTAAATAACCAGGGCCCATGACTGTCGCGATTTCGGTAAGCGTATTGCGGGACATATCACGACTGACCTGTGCACGACTCTTCAGAATGTAGCAGATGTCGAGCAACACTCCAGGGAGGCGGGCCTCGATTTCCTGAGGTGGCAGTACAAGCAGAACCTTGGTGATGGCAATTGCAACGGGCACTCGCAAACTGACAGTAGCATCGTCTTTCTTGTGGAGATACTCTGTAAGATCGGGCAGGAAGTGGTTGATGAGATCATTGGTCAGCTTTTCCTGCTGAGGGAGCGTCCTAGTCAGTGAGGATATTGGCGGATCGATTTCCATGGCATCGATGTCACCATTTACTTCGGACGTTTCGGCATCGGCCTTGCCTGTCGCACTGGCAGTGATAACATAGCCCTTGGCACGTCCTGCCCGGTTTAGCCCATCCATCAAGCCAACAATGAGCTTGATGATAGGCTTCTGCATGTCTTCCTTACTTGACAGATAGCCGATGTAGCGCTTCAACAAAGACCGCAATTGAGGCCACTCAAGCCATTCAACCAAAGCCGCGAGGGTCTTAATCGTCTCACCCGAGAGGCCATCTGCGCTTTCGTCGTCGGCTTTGTTGAAGACGAAGTGTTCGAGAAGTGGCAGCAGTATGTGGTAGATGTTGCCACTCTTGATGTGTGAGGCATTGGCGGCGAGACGACGGAGGGCTCTGAGTCGACGATGTCCCTGAATATGCAGCACGTTGCTGAAGAACGATGCTTCGTCGTCTTCTGAAAGCAGAACGTGCATGTCGGCAACCAGCGGCCACTGGCTATGCTGTTTCACGAGCTGTTCAAGGACAGCTAAAAACTCCGCTCGTACAAGCTCTGAGGACTCGCGCATGCCATTCTGGATGCCAGGCAAGATGGCCACAGAGAGAAAGTCCTTGAGATCTGTTCTGTCGGAGACTTCTACGAAGCGGCGAAGAGACAGGGCAGCATTCGTACGGATGCTCAACTCATCGTTATCCTTGATCGAAAAGAGCATGTTGTATACCAGTGGCTTCCACTGGGCAAGGGAGTACGATTTGTAGGCTTCGTCGTTGATCTCGTTGAACGCGCCCGAGCGACGCTCAAAATCAGGTTCGTCCAGGCGAGACTTTGCGAAAGAATTGAGATCATGACATAGTTTCGCAACATGCGACAACTCTTCCCTAGCTTGCACAAGATCTTGTATAATGTCACAAAGAAGGACCCTGGCCGTTCGGTCTTGAACAAAGGCGAACATCGGGCAGATTGCGTCGAAAATATTGTCGAACAGCTCGTCTACACCCTCGGTTTCGTAGCGTTGGATGAACTCATGCAAGATCCTCAAAAGCCCCATTTTGGTCCGAGGGTTCACTCGCTTTGAAGGCTGTCGGAGGAGGAACGTGGCGATCTCAATCATACTGCGTGATTCAGTAGAACCGACGATATGTGGTGCCATATCCGCGACGGTTTGGACCCCAGACTCGAGCACTTCTTTGCTAGGACTTTGTCGCAGGAGAGCACCAACCTTGCTGAGTATCGCGTTGGAGTAAGGTTGAATGATGTCTGTATGTATGCGATTGATCAAGATCTTGGTCTCAGTCGCTGGTGTCTCATTGTCGCTGACCACGAGCCGAATGATGCTACCCAGGATGTCGTCCAACACAAATTTCCTGACTTCGTCCTTTGCGGAAGGAACCTCCAGGCATTCGATGACCTTCTTTAGAATCCTTTCGTTGTGCTCGACCAAGAAAGGTGCAGTCAAAAGAGACTTGGCCCAAGCAGCAAATAACCGCAGAAGGCCAGACACGGACTGCGCAGTCTCTATGGGTAAGTTCTCAAGTCTAGGTTCGATCAGCTCGTGCACGATGGCTGCCGAGTAAGGGTGCCAGCCGTGCTCTGGACAGCTCTCAGACAAGCGTGCCAGAATGTGTAGTGAGCGCTGGCGCACTGTCTTGAGAAGTGAAAGCTTCATAGTTCGGCCTTCGGGCTCGTCTTCGCTCTCTTGTGCGGTTGGTATGGAAGATAGACTTCGGGAAGCTTTGATGAGACAGTACAGACTGGATCAACGACGGTCTCTGTGAAGGATTGAAAGTAGTCTGGAACGTGCTGATAAGTCGTC